GAAACTGGTTTTATGCATCGAAACGGCGGGGTTGTATTTGTTTTGGGTTATTTGGGGATTTGATTTTCATTTGTGTCTTTACATGATCAGACCTTTTTTTTTTATCTTTTGTCTTGATCAAACGGAAGCGGGATATACGTACAGTGATGTGCGATACGATACACCACCAATTCAGGCGGGCTCTTAACGAACGATGCTCTGGAAAATACAAATGACCGTAAAAAACGGTTGCTTCAAAAGAACACTGCAGTCGATCGAGATGATGTCGTGGTGTGTGGTGCTCGTGGGGCTGATGTGCAAGGATGTTGCTCGCGGGTGTCATTCCGACCCGTTCATTTGACGAGGGTCAGCGGGTATGGACACAATCTGATCGTTCGTTCATCGGGGAAATTCAACAATGCTGTCTTCTGTAGTTCCCCGTGCGGGTTGGTCGACGCCTTTTCTGATCCCTAGCGTCCCCCCCTCATGGGCAGAAAAAACAGCGTCCGTATGCCACGAGGAAAAACCTGGCACAGGGGATTCACTAATTACCCCAGGTCGATGTAACGGCGGCCCAGCAGCCTTTAGCGTATCGACGGTCCCTTCGGTACCCGCTGCTTGGCCCGTTTCAGCATGTTGCTTCGCTCAGCCTTGGCTGCACCCCCAGCGTCGTGTTGGCGGTGGAGATGAAGCGAAGGCGACTTGAACGTTCTGGACCTCCGTCGAGGCTTGGCCGAGTTCCGATTTAGAGATCGCGATCGTGGCTGGTGAGACTGACGAAAAAAGTCTCACGTCTGCCCTGCTTCACCACCAGTCCGTCGACATTTGTAGGGGCTTGATGCTTGCTAGTCAAGTCGTCAACACACGAGGCCCCTTGCTCCCGTTGTCTCATCAGCTTTGACGGTTCGAAGCTTATCCCAGGTTTGACAGGTGAAAGGCGAAAACGGGCTGCCCAGCCACTCGACCCAATGTCGATCCCCGTTTCTGATGAGGCGTCCTCTCGCCCCTCCCCCCCAGCATCACACTGACGAGGGATGTCTTGTTCGGTCTGGCCAATTGTGGCTTGCCTGGCTGCCCTAGCTGCCCTGTCGTGCTGCGTCTGCTACCGCCCCGAATGATTGTTAGGCGTTTAGGCTGTTCCGACTTCCATGCTCGCCCGCAACAGCCCACATTCTGCTTGACCACGTTCGCTTCGCGGCTTGAGGTCACTCACTCCGTTTCTTCTTTTGTTATGGACTGAGATGACGGCCCAGTGACAGATGGGGGTTCCTATTCGGTGCTTGCCCCGGTCCCATTCAGGTCAGTGGAGAGCCAGAGGACATGGACATGGACATGGACACATCCACGCACGGCCGAGTCTAGACCGCCATACGAAGCCACAGTTGGCAAGAGACTGCATCGGGACACATCGACGAGCTTGGGGAAGACTGGACCTGAGGCCCCGGAGGATGCCCTCTCGAGACGCCTCCTGCCTCCCTGACCTGCTAGGAAACCTGCTTGACACCCGCGTCTCATTGGCGAAAGGAGAGCACACCAGGTTCCTATTCCTCCTGGCGCCTGTGAGTTGAGCCTGGGTAACATCCTTTTGGGAGGTCAGCAGTTGCTGATGTGTCAACTGAGCTGCGAATGACAACATTTTTTCGCCATTGTGGCGGTCCGGCTGCTGCTCTCACACGCCCCCAGACTGTTGCCAACGGAGACTTCATCCGATGCTGCCCTTCTGTCGTGCGTCCCCAGCTCTGAAGGTCCTATTTCCGTACTGTTCTGTTCATCCCTGCTTGAGACCCGATGTTTGGGTTCGAGATGCGAGGATCAGACCAAGGCCAAGACCATCCATACGGACTGCTACGTCACGGACCTCCATCTTGCTCCATCACCCACCCCCCCTGATCCCTTGCACAAGCGGCTAGGAATCCACTAGGATATCCACCTGCTATCGGCGTGTGGTGGGTGAACCACGTAGGGCGACAGACATCAGTCTCTGTCGATCACAGACTGCTGCGTACCCCTACCCTTACACCAAACGACCAAGTCTCTCGAAGGAGCTCTCATTTCATCCGCCCACAGTATCGTGTTCCTGACGCAACGCGCACTCCTGCTGCACCCCGACACATCGATTTCGGGAAGATCGCATTCCCGTTGCCCCCTTTCCCTCTTCCACTATCGATCCCCAGTCCCCCAAAGAGAAGACCCATCCATGCAGACACCCGCTCCTGCAGGCCGCGACGGCTCCGAGTCCGAGTCTGAATCCATGCACACGGCGCGATCCCGCGCTGACAGCGAAGCGCGTCGTGACCCCTCTCGCACTGGCACTGAGGCAGATACGACCGCCAAGAGCGATGGGTATGAGGTCGTCGACGTCAACGACTCGGAGGAAGACGCAGGGCGCGAAGACCAGAGCACGCCCAAGCCTGAGCAGGCTGCGCGACCAAAGCTTCCCAGGCTGAACTCCCAGTCGAGAGCCTCGTCGTCATTCGTGGGCAGCGAGACAGATACGCAAGATCATGCTGAAGCTCCCCGACCGCAGCCTGAACAGGAATCAAGCCGTCCAACTCAGCCAGAAGTAGCCGCTGCGTCTCAGCAGAGGTCGCCTCAAGGAGGCGCACAGAACAGTGCCCGGCCGAATACCACATCACAGGACCACAGCCAGTCGCAAAATACCTCCCAGGCCAGTCAGGACCAAGGAGGTCCATCCCACATCAACACATCGCGCGAAATCCCGATCCCCATTCGTAAACAGGAGGCTGGGCGTCACTCCATCACTACAGACGAAGATGACGATGATGATGCCTCGTCAGTGTCGTCCTCTTCAACAGAGAGCATCGGCAACCGCGCCCAGTACTACGACCATCACCAGCCTCCCCAGCACTCGCCAACACCGGTGACGCGCTCCACGCTCAAGAACAAGTCAGACGACGAAGAGAACCCGACGATCCAGATCCCCAAAGTCACGCCCCTCGCCTCAGGCCTCACGCTGCCGCCCAACTTGGCTGAGCTGGCCGAAAATCTCGAAGACAAATACATTGACGAATTCGGCAACGTACTCGAATGGGACGGCCGTGTCCTAGGTCGCGTCGAGGGCGACCTTCCTTCCATGATCGGAAGGCCTGTATCGGCGACGGGGGAGGTCATATCGACCGAGGGCCAGGTCGTAGGCTACGTGGCCGAGAACGACACGATTGCGCCGCGGCCGCCGTCGCCAAAGCCCATCCACGGCATGGGCGAGGGGATGAAGCTTGACCACATGGGGAATATACTTAATAGGCACAACAAGATTGTGGGACACTTGAACGCCGAGGAGCTGGTCGACGCGCCGGAGCCGATCCGGAGGGCGCGCAACGGCGGTGGCGGTGGCAGCGGCGGCGGCGGAGGTGGCGGAGGTGGCTGTGGCTGCAACTGTGGCCACGGCCGAGCGAAGCCTTCGGCGGCGCCGAGTCCGTCGGAGATCTACCTCGATGTCAAGTCGACGAACGACGGCGTGCAGCTGATCATCAAGATCCCGACTGTGTTTAATGGCGGGGGTACGCCAAACATTCATATTGGTACGAGTTCGTGAGATGCGGAAAGCTCAGGAGGCGTTCTGTGAATTGGCATGGCTCAGTCCAGCTCAGCGGGAATAGGTGCAATTGGGTATGGGAATCACGAAGGTAGCGTAGGCGTTCTGGATAGTTCGTAGGCAAACAAACACATAGGACGATCGCAGGCGGCAATGAGCGACGGGCTTGGCGCACACGCTGGTGGGCTTGCGTTGGATATTCGGTCTCGAGGCCAAAACGCCAGGAAGAAAACGTGGTAGGCTAGAGAATCCCGCATCCTCCAAGCGCGCCGTGTTAGCTTCGCCGCTACTAATGAAAGAGCACATGGTTTGGCGGGCGCCGTTAGCGACCCTAGTTTGACCCAGAAACCCGGACTTGTGTCGAGCTTGTGTACGCCGGGCGTCAGAACGTGAATTCGCAATGTGAAAACGCCATGTACACACCGGAGGCAGCACTCGGTGATCAGCGCCTGGGTTTTGTGGCAGAGAGCTCCAAGCTGAGCACATGCGGGCCATGCGGCATGCGGTATGCGCGTTGTCCAGGGATCGACTGCATGTGGCGTTTGACCTTTTCGCTTCCATGACGTGGAAGAGCCGAAATGCCTCCACTCACCGATCTCGATGGGCCACGAAGCACTGAGAGGTCGGAGGTTTGAATGGTGAGGCAGCAGACAGAGACTTGGCAGACCAGACGTTCTCGACCGGCTCTGACGACTGGTTGACGGGGCTGTCCAGGACTCCCCTTGGAGAAAACCTGGAGGTCTCCAGCCACACCTCGAAAAAACAAGTGGGCGGCGGCAGAGAGACGAGAGACACCCCTCCCCTCCGCCCCATGTTGATGTTCACGCCCCCCTCCCGCTCGTGTCGATCCCTTCACGAGCCAATGATTCCCAGACCAGGGGTTGGTTGCTTTCGTAGATGCTGTCGCACCATCCACCTTCCTATCAAGCCCCATCCCACTTTCACCTGGCAGAAGCCAAGTTGCGTCATGCAAAGTGTGCGCCGTCCTCTCGGTGAGGCTGTTTTGTTGGTTGATGTGTGGCTTTGCGTCATGTAAGCGTAGCGCCTTCCACATGAAGTCATGGGCTGTGGCGAGTGCCAGGGTCTCGAAAGCGGCGCTCCTCTGCTAGGCTTGTGAGGTGACTGCCTGGCATCAGAGGTGGGGTGGGGGGGGGGTGGTCGAGGAGCTCACCCTCCTGTTGCCAAAGCTGGCTTGACGTAGCTTTCCTGCTGGTGTCCAGGGGGGAGCTTCGAAACCTGATTCCAGGCGCGGGCAGCACCATTTGGCAGTTGGTATAAGACCTCGACAGAGCATGCCGCTGAGATGGTGTGTAGCCTTCTCTCAATATCACAGCAGTTTTCACGAACTGAAAACCCCAAAATCCAAATACCTGAACAATAAATACCTTGTATAACATCACCTGATACCCTTTCCCTCAAATACCTATTCCAAGATACCCATAACCCGAACTACCATCCAATCATCATGGCCGACACTACTACGAAGAAGGCGGAGGACACCAAGCAGAGTGGTAAGCTCATCCCGATGCAACGTCCCCCGCAAACACAGCCACCATGTCTCACCTCGAAGCCACACCTGTAATCCAACCTCGTGAGACTGTACCGCCTCACTGATCAGCCACAACCACATTCACTTCACCTCTTTCGCGTGTTATTTTGCTAAATCACCTTCAGTTGGACAGAGTGAGATCTCAGAGAGCAACCTCGCAGCAGGCGTCGTGGGAAAATCAGGAGAAATTGTCAATGAGCAGGGTGAGACCGTAGGAAAGATCACAGAGGGCGACCCAGGCGACCTCGGTATGTCCCAACCCATCTCATCAAATTCAAGCAGGTTTCGACTGACACTCTCAAGTCGGAAATGTGGTCACAGCAACGGGGGATATAGTAGGAAAAGACGGTGGTATCGTAGGCAAGGCTCTCCCGCTCGACAATGCCTCCGCAGGCGGCTCCAAGAAGGGCATTTTCGGCACCTTAATGGGCGCAACAAAGGGCGTCAAGGGTGTTGTCGACACAGTTGACGGCACCGTCCAGACTGTCGAGAAGGGCCTTCCTCTCGTCGGCGACCTCACAAAGGGCCTCGGGCTCGGTAACGGCGGCGGCGGCTTCGGCGGCCTCCTCGGAAAGAAGCAGGAGGATCGCAGCGCCGAGGACAAGGCGGCGACCACTGAGCAGGCCAAGAAGGAGCTCTTCGACAACTCAGACAAGGCTGCTGATGCGGCGCCAATTGATCTCAAGGATCAGGAGGCTGTCGACAACGCAAAGACCGAGGTCGAGACCAAGAGCCAACCACCACAGAGTGAGGCCAGCGAGTCCAAGGACGAGGCTACGGAAGCCACCACTGAAGCCAGCACCGATGACAACGAGACAGTCAAGCAGTCCGGCAAGGACCTGACCGATACCGTCTCTGGTGCTGTTGGTGGCGCCAAGGATGCCGTTGAGAGCACCGCATCAGGGGCCAAGGACACTGTGGAAGACACTACTCAGAAGACGACTGACACTGCGGAAGACACCACAACAAAGGCTACCGACGCCGTGGAGGACACAACGTCCAAGGCCACTGATGCCGCTGAGGACACCACGTCCAAGGCCACCGACGCCGCTGAGGACACCACTTCCAAGGCGGCCGACGCTGCCGAAAAGACGGCAGACGATGTCCAGGACACGGCAGAGGAAACCGCAGAAACAGCACAGTCCACCGTCGATGACACGTCCAAGGACGTGCCCAAGGACACTGATTCTGCCAAGGGTCTCGACGACACAGCGGACGACGCTTTCGACACTGCAGAGCAGACCACTTCCGACGCCAAGGACAGCGCTGACAAGACTGCATCTGACGACAAGGTCGAGGATACCAAGGCCGCTGCCGAGGGTGCCAAGGACACTGCGGAGGAGACGGCCGAAGATGCCAAGGACGCCGCCTCCGAGGCCCCCAAGGGTCTCAGCGAGCAGGCCCAAAGCCAGCTGGACGAGATGGAGACGGTCGCCGACGTCCAGGTGGAGAACCCTTTCCAGAAGTTCGAGGGTGCTCAGCTTGACGACGAAGGCAAGGTCATCTTCGACAACCAGTCCATCGGCAAGGTCGTCGAAGGTGATCCGCTCGAGCTCGCCAACAAGGAGATCGCTCCCGATGGGGCCATTCTCAACGATGAAGGCAGCGAAATCGGCCGCGTCGAGCTCAAGTCGGAAATTGCTGAGGATCTGCAGAAGCAGGCTGAGGCACTGGCTGGCCTCAAGGACGCCAAGGTCAACAAGGCCGGTAATTTGGTGAAAAATGATGCTGTCATTGGCCGTATCGTTGAGGGTACCATCAAGAATTTGATCGGCCGCAAGGCTGATGCTCAAGGGCGTATCTGGAACGACTCGGGCGAGCAGATCGGCCGCGCCGAGCCTCTGGCCGACAAGGAGCGTGAGGAGTTCAAGGAACCTTCGCCGTTTGAAGACTTCCCTGATGCTGTTGTCCAGTCCAACGGCGACGTCACCTTTGAGGGAGAGAAAATTGGTGTGCTGGTCGAGGGCGACCCTAAGAAATTGAAGGGGAAGCACATCGATGAGGACGGCGAGGTACAGGATAGGCAGGGGAACGTTATCGGACGCGCTGAGCGTTGGGAGCCCGAAGAGGAGGAGCCTGCTCCAGAGGTTGACAACTCTCTACTCGCCGAGAAGCGTGTCAACAAGGCTGGCCTGGTCGTTGATTCTAACGGTACCGCTTTTGGACGCGTTGTCGAGGGAGACGTCGCAAAATTGATCAACCGAATGTGCAACAAGAAGGGCGAGGTTCTTTCCGAATCGGGCGAGGTCATCGGACGAGCTGAGCTGATTCCGGAACATGAACGCCACGAGAAGAAGGACCAGCCCTTTGAGAATTTCCCCGACGCCGTGGTTCAGGCCAACGGCGACGTGACCCACAACGGCGAGATTGTTGGACGGCTGATCGAGGGTGACGCGAAGAAGCTTCAAAACAGCAAGGTCGACGCTGACGGCGACGTTGTCCGAGACGGAAACGTCATCGGGAAGGCTGAGCGTTACACTCCGGAGGAGCCGGAGCCCGAACCTGAACAGGACAAGAGTATTCTGGGCGGCAAGCGTGTAAACAAAGCCGGCTTCGTCGTCGATTCAAATGGCGTGCCTTACGGACGCGTGGTCGAAGGGGACATCTCAAGATTGGTCAACCGAATGTGCGACAAGCAGGGTAACGTGCTGTCCGAAAGTGGCGATAAGCTGGGAGTTGCAGAGGTGCTTCCGGAGGGTAAGTTGCCTTTCAACCCTGAGACATCTTGAGAATAACATGCTGACACTCATATAGGCGAGCGTGAGCTCAAAAAAGAAGGTCCTTTTGCTGAGTTGCCAGGGTGCACTGTTGCCAAAGACGGTACCGTAGTCACCCCTAGCGGTGATATTGTCGGACGCCTGATTGAGGGAGACGGGAAAAAATTGTTCGGACGTGAGGTTGATGATGATGGTGAGATTCTACACCAAGGGAACGTTATCGGCCGCGCGGAGCGTTGGGAGCCGGAACCGGAACCTGAGAAGGAGAAGGGACCATTCGCCGGCCTCAAGGTGAACAAGCAAGGCGATGTGTACCGCGACGGAGAGCTCGTCGCCCGCCTGACCTCAGGCGAGCTCAGCGTATGCTCCGGAGCCGAAATTGACGACGACAACGACGTTATCAACCACAAGGGCACGTCAGTCGGACATGTCACTGCCATTGCGGATATTCCCGAGCCCGAACCTGAAGAGCCAAAGGAGTCCGAGGAGGAGAAGAAGGCTCGCGAGGAGGCTGAGCAGGATGAGAAGCTTGCCAAGAACCTGGCTAGCCAAGTCGAACAGAGTCTTGACAAGATTCGCCCAATCTGCAAGATGATCACCGACAAGATTGAAAAGGCGGAGCGAACGCCCAAGGACGAGCTTGACGAGGAGGCTCTCGTCAAGGAGGTTAAGCCGCTGATCGAGGAGGGCGGCAACATTCTCAGCGAGCTGAACGGTACCATCCGTGCCATGGACCCCGACGGCCGCATCCAGCGCAACGCTAAGCACAAGTCGAGCACCAGCGAGGCTTCCCCTGCTGAGCACCATCTCGCAGACCTGCTTAAGGAGGTAAGTTAATACCATTAACCATTTCAGTGTGTGTTCGATTCTAACATATGATCAGCTTTCTGGCTCCGTCGTTACCTGTGTTGAGAACGCCAAGAAGAAGATTGCCGACATGCCACACGCCAAGAAGCACCTGAACCCACTTTGGGCACTGCTGACCGAGCCTCTGGGCCAGATCTTGGCCGCCGTCGGACTGTTGCTCGCAGGTGTGCTCAACCTCGTCGGACGCCTTCTTTCCGGCCTTGGACTCGGTGGCATCATCGATGGTCTTCTCGGTACCCTGGGGCTCAACCGCGTGCTTGAAGGCCTCGGTCTCAGCAGCATCACGGGTGCTCTCACGGGAAAGAACAAATAAACGTGTTGAGGGCATGATGTTTTCTTTGGAGAGGATGAGATTTATAATTTTGCTGCTGGCTTATGGGTTCGAGTCGTATTGTATGAGCTTTGGATAGCTATTATGGGGTTTCGTTGCTCTTTAATGACCTGAAATCAATTCATTCGCCCGTGAGCTTGCTCGGTACCCTTGCATGACATGTTTTCTTCACTACGATCTTTGCCGCATTTTTTCTTATAGCACAGGGCGATGGAAAGGAGTGTTGAAAGTGGTCATGGCTGGTCCGTAGCAGCCTAATGGCAATGTCACGCAAACAGGCACTTGCCAAAAAATGGCAAAGAATCTGAGGGACAGGCATCCTCCTGCCCACAGTGGCGGCACGAAACCCCCTAGGATGTTCACCCTTAATCATCGCCAACCCTCCATCCAACACCCACTAACGGCACTTCCGCGTTCTGCATTGCACATCTATATGAAAGCCATAATTCTTAAAGGATAATATTGATAATAATATATTTAAACGCCTTAAAATCCCCTAGGGTCAAATAGGCGCTTGCGTATCCTTATCTATATATACTATCCGATAACTATAATCCTATATTCTATAACTAGAATTAGAGACCCCTTTAAGGCTAAGGTTATAGGGGGACCCTAGTAACTCCTTAGGAGTTTTTCGTTTATTAAATAGCGTATATATATTCAGTACTAGGTTATTAGTATATTAGGCTATACTCCCTATTAAGTATTAATGCCTCGGGAGAGCTATATAAATAGCTAGGGGTCTAATAGGTATTAGTTAATATCTAGGGTATATAGTATTAAAGAAATTATAGGAGTTAGAGTCTTATAACTTATCTAGTAGCTAAAATAAAAGCTAAACTATATCGATATTTATAAATTAGAAAGATAAAAAGCATAGCTATAGAATAGTATACTTTTTATAATATTCTATAGAGCCGTTCTATAATAATAAGCCGTTAACTTCTCTTATACCCTATTAGCTAAAGCTTAAAATCCGACTCTATTTCCCTATAGGTCTAGAGGTAGTCTAAGCGCCTTGTCTATACATAGCCACCGAGGGTCAGTCTATTATATATAGAGGGCACCCCCTAGACCTATTTTTTAGGTTTTTAAGTCTTTTTATAATTATCTAATTCTAACTATACTCGTAAGTCCCCTTTATATAGTAATTCCTATCTAAATTACTTATTCTTAATTACTATAAATAGATACCTTCTAAAATACGCCTTATTTCTATTAGGATTAATTTAAGTACTCTTCTAAATGAATTATAACCTTCTTCTGAATTAATCCCTTTACTTATTTACCCTCGATCTGAACAAAACCTATACTATTTTATAGCTCTTATTAAGGGCTACTAGAATCTTCGATCTATTTCTCGATCCGATATCTCCTTCTCGAGATATAACTACTTTTATCTCTCCCTTCCTTTTATCCTTTTATCTATTATTATCTCTTTATCCTATAATTAAGTATTACCCTCGGTCGTTGCCTAATACCTCCTACGATATCCTCATTACTATTTAATAAAAGAAAAACTCCTATAGGAGTAGTTAATATAACCTTACTTCTAAAGGGGTCCCTAATTCTAGTAATAGCTAGAATAGAGGATTTTACTTAATAGAGAGTATATATAAGGGATATATAGGCGCCTATTCGCCCTTAGGGGATTTTAAGGCGTTCAAAGATATTATTATTATTATCATTATCATCCTTACGACCTTCTTAGGTCACAATCGATTACTTACGCCTTAGAAGGGAATCAGACATCGATATGCCCCTTTGAAACATATGGCCAGCTTTGAGATAGTGTAGTCGGCAATGGAATAGGATTAAACCATAACGCTCTCAATACTGCGTGACTTTAATGCCAATGGCTATCCACACTATATTACAGTTTAATCAGTACTCTATGTTTTCCATTACGGGTATTTAATGCCCGTCATCGTTGACAGAAATTTTAGTACGGCACGGGCAAGGGTATCATGTCGAGCGGTATATGTTAATAGACTCATTTACTGGGGAGTATACATAATGCTCATGAGATGTATTTCTCGCATACTGATCATGACTGGAGAGTCATTGACATGAAAACAGATCAGATAATGCCGAAGCCGAGATTTCAAACAACGTAGCAGTCGTCGCCCTTCCGCCCGGGTGCCCATTTCGATCGGCTACATGAAAGGAGTAGCTAGCCACAGTCGCCCACGACCAGCTTCTCTTGGACATGGACGTCTCCGGGCAAGGACCCTGTCAACAAGGCAGGCGATATGAATCTCCCATGGGTGACTGAGCTCTCAGGTGACCGCCTCGCAAATGACCGCCCTAGGCCTCCCTCGTAGACCCTGCCGGAGAGTGCTCCCTCTCACCCGCATCAGGTCTCTTCGGCAGTTCCCACCATGGCGCGTTATCCGTCCACATCGCGGACATGCCGAAGGTACATGGTAGGCATAAATAAACCAGCGTCCATAGACCAGCCCTTTTGAGCTTGACGTGGGCTACGAGACAGGAAAATATTCAGTAGGCGCCTCGCAATGACAAACTAGACAAGACACGACGTTACCGTATTTTCCATAGTACTTGATCCAATCGGACGCCTTTGGCTTGGCCATTAGTTGATGTGGAGGGAAAAGAGCAAGCGGCGGTCTAGGACAAAATGCTGGGGTGGACACGGTTCATCAAGTATGAGCTTGTAAAGTGGGCGCGCGGCAAGTTTTGTTGGAGAAGAAGGGGTTCAAGAGAAGAGCATAGCCAGAAGGACATCGGAGCACGGTTCATCAGGGGGGCACGTCATAACACTGCGCGAAGGATGTGACATATAGATTTACCAACCACCAGCCGGCCGCATGCTATCAGACGCCAAGAGACCTGACGCGTGTGGTTAACAGGAAGAAAGGCGCGTCAGCTGACGTCATAATGTGAATGCACCAGACTGGCACTCCGAGATGTGCGCTGGAGTTCCTGTCAATTGAATGTGTCTTGACAGGACTGAGACATGAGCAAAAAGGATCTGATCAATGTCCAGGAAAAGCAACAGTTTAGGTGCTTGCGTGAACTGGGAATCGAACCCAGGGCTCCCCGATGGCAACGGAGAATTTTACCACTAAACCATTCACGCTTGGTTGAAATGCGACTTGCAATTGTGGATTATGTCCTCATTATGTGAGCCTCATTTCCTACAAGGCAGGCTTACCCTCCAAAGTATCTACGAACCTAGGTACCTAAGCACGTCACTCTGCTCGGTGCCTGCATCCGTGTGTGCAAGTGCTCTGCAGTGCATAGCGAACCTCTGCTCGAGACCTCCATTGGACGATGTCGCTCGCTACACCTATAATGGCGTTCTCGTACCGCAGCACGCCCCGGATGGTCCTCTGCCTAGCACCGGAGCCGGTGGCATTGCTCACAGATAACACCAGCGACGTGGATGCCCTGCGGGACATGAGCGTTTCTTGTAGTGTAATACTTGCACTACATCGACGAACGCACTCTCTAAACTGTACTTTTCACTGTGAGGATCACAGAAACTGCCTACAGGATCAAATCGGCCTTCTGTTTACCATGGCTGCACTCATGGTTCTGTCCAAGCCGGTCTTGCATGACGCCAGGATGGGCTCTGGTTGAACAGGTCTGATATGGTTATCGTCATCAGCTATGCCTCATCTTCCTCCACCAACGCTTACGATGCGGTACTTTGAAGGTGGACGTAGGCTTGTCAATGGCGGCTGGGCCCTGCTGCTGCCGTAGTTGAGACCTGGTAGGAGCCGCTCTCGCGAGGTGTCTCCAGCTCCATGCATCACCGTCTTCCACATTGAGCGAACCGAAATTGGTTGTCGCTCAGTCCTGTTGCGAGTCTTGGATTCAACCCTGTTGCATATCCGTAGGTGAGCTTCTCGTCTCTCGATGCCTCAAGGGATGGCATTCGTTTCGTATACAGAAACGAGGGGTATAGGGGTGTTTGAGCCTCAATGGTAAATCCTGGTCAAGTTCTCAGCTTGAATGTTCTCGTCACGACGATGATATTCCAAGCCATTTCGTCGATAGAGGGTGTTGCGTAGTGAGCAGGCTCTCCGATCGAGATCGGATCCGAAGCATGGGCAATGTTGCTACCTGGAAAGACTTCATGCTTGAGAGGTATGTTGTATGTTGTCATGTTTTTTTGAACTGGTGCACAAAATGTACAATCATGGCGCGTCATGTTTTGGACAGCCAAGACCAATGAACATGCTTAGCTCAAGACCAGGAACACTGATGCCACGGGCCTCCGTGGGCTGAAGCTTGAGCTGAGCAATCTCGTCAGCGTTCTTGTCGAGGAGACTCCTCACGGTGGTGATTTCTTGTGCGTGTTCCCTCTCGCGCATTTGCGGCTTGTTTTAAAAGCTATCATTCGTGCCTTGGCCAAGTCCAGCTCCTGTTGGAGAGGCCGCTGCCAACATGATGCCAGCCTTCCTACATTGAAGCATTGCCAGATACACAGGTTGTTTGACGTCAAGCCTGTCCATACCATGGCATTTCGTCATGGCCAACGCGTCTTGGAATGCTCCCTGATCAGTACCTCAAGGTGAGGAGGTGCTGTGGGTGCTTCGTGGAGAGAATCGTCGGGAGCAGGGTTGCTGGTGGAGCAGTCGTCGCAGAGAGTCATCATCGGCAAGATGCTCGGCGGAGGGCTCTCGGGATTGATGGAAATGCCTTCGATGACGACCGTGAGCAAATGAAGTGAAGACACCGTCAGTAGTCATTTCCAGCGAGTTGTAGGTACCTAAGGTACCTTACCTAGGTGAGGGTCAAGGTGGTGGTCAGGCGGGGTGTCCTTGCCTGCCAGTGCCGTGGTGGGACCCGAGCTCGAGGTGGGGAAAGAGCTTCGACTCGTAAATGCCCAACGACTTGCTTTCAACCACCTTTGGTTTCAACACCTTTGGTTTCAACAACCATCCATTCACCGCTTCGTGCCCCTTTGGCATCGTCACTCGCTTTCCAGATTGCGTTCCCTGTCTGTGATCTTGCATCAAAGCAGAAGAGAGAGCCCCTCGAAAAGCCAAATCGCCGAGCACGACATCGCCGACCCCGCGACTGCTCTCCCCGACTGCTCTCCCCGACTGCTCTCCCACATACCACGCCACCTTGATCAATCGCCGGCATCACGATGCCTGATCTCAACTCGGTACCCGCGTCGCCACACGCGCTGACGAGCTCCCGAAGACCGTCATCAAACCAGTTGCCCGCTCACAACCTTGACATTCTCCCCTCGAACCAGACGACCGTCAACCAGCCTCGCCGCGCTTCCAATGCCTCGCTCCCATCACCGCACCTTCCCCCAGGCCAACCACAACCGACGACGGCCAATATTTCAGCTCCATCCGACATTGGTGTCGTGTCGGGACCTGGACCCATTCGTCACCCGCGGCCATTGACAGCCGCTGATCTGCACATTCAGCTCGAAAAAGAGCAAGAGGCCGTCGTGCGTTCCACTGTCCCCAGACCATGTTTCTTGTCACGAGCCTCATGCCGCTAACCACCATGCTCCCAGGTCAATCGGTTGACGCGCGAATTGCAACTACTCCGAGCCGCCCACAATGCCTCGACCGTCTCGAACGCGTCGTCGACGTCCACAGGCAACACCGCCACCGAACAACCCACACCCCCCGTCGACGCAGGTCTCCTCTCCGGCGCCGGCTTCTCGACAGCCGGCCGCCGCCACAATCGAACCTCGTCAAGTACGAGCGCCCGCAGCCTCATGGCGACCATGGGCTCCGCCAACGCCTCGACAACCTCGATTCCCATGCGGTCGGCCCCCAATGCCTCGCTCTCGCGCCAGAACAGCTCGGCCTCCCACCCAAGCCTTGCCGGCACCTCGCCGGCGGCAGCCGACCTCATCGCAGGCCCGGGCTACTTTCCCTCCTCGCAGCGCGTCCCGTCGCAGGTCGCCACGAGCGCAGGCACCCTCGCGACCCCTGCTGGTCAGGAGCAGCAGCAGCAGCCGCTGTCGCCGAGCCACGTCCCGGGCACCGTGCGCTACGAAGAGACGCTGCTGCACCGCGAGCAGCTCGAGACGGCGCTGCAGGAGAACGAAGCGCTGAAACGCCGCATCCGCGAGCTCGAGCGCCTGGTGCGCGAGCGGCGCCGCAGCGAGAGCGTCAGCACCACGGGGGGCCCCGCGCCGCAGCGGCCCGGCGGCGACAGGGAGCGGAGCATGACAGCTGCGTCGATGGGCGCGCAGAGCATCGCCGGCAGCGTCGGTGTCGGCGTGCCCGAGGAGGAGGTCAAGGTGGGCGAGAGCGCGTCGAATGCGGGGCTGGCTCAGGGCGTGTGAGCGGTGCGCGCCCTCTGGGCTGCGTCACCCACAGTCGGACAAGGGGGTCGGCATGGCGTTTGGTGTTTGTCATGACCTCATGAGGAGAGCGTGAGACGCTCGAGTTGCAATGATACTATTGGAGTTGTCTTTGCTGCCGTTGCCCATGTTCAATTTCGTGGTGCCTCGTGTCATACATCGTATGCTGGTTCCACATCCCAGCTATGCAATGTCGGAGGCCTTCTGCACATTAAGTCGTCTTAACCATGGACAAAAGCTTGCGACTGCAGCGAAACAGGATGACTCATGACGAGGAAGCCATCATTCGAGCGTAGACGAGCATGCATTCTCCTGTCCGAACTGGTCCCAACTTGCCGTATCACGCTTGATTCGATTGATGAGGGGACAAGTCAGATCCACCAGATTTACCAGATTCACGGATTGACGTTTAGGTAACATGGTGAACAACTCTATCCAGATGACGCACCGCATGTCGTTCACCCTGCAAACAACGACATCATCTCTTCTCCCGTCCCCCTTCTCGGCCCGTTGAACCACATGTCCTCGCTCATCCGGGCGGGGTAGCACAGTGATACGATTTCAGAGTCCATCCGTCCGTCAAGACTGATAGCTTCGAGCCGACTGTCGCTCTGTTGTTGGATCCATATCCCCACCTCAGCGGCCGCCTCTTGGGAGCCGCTCAGGCGAAGTCACGGCAACGCTTCATTGTCGTCATTCCAGGCCCGTCGCCAACACAATAAAGGTCACCACTCTTGTAGATGGAGGAGCCTCATTGCTCACCATTCATCTTTTAATACATCTTTCATGGGAGAATACTATATTGATACAGATCATTTCGAACAAGCAGCCCTCAACCCCTCAGGCCGCCCCCACTACCATACAACACCAGAGACAAGTACACTGCAAGTGGACATTGGATGTGCGTGAAAGCGCAGATAAACCAATCATCAAACCAACGAGTAATAACAATGTCCCAATTAGACTAGAAGCCCGGTGATTTTACCATTTGTCGCCAGCAACGAAATCACTTCACGCGCTCAAGCCAGACGCCCTAAAACAGCGCAAGCCAACAGACGACGCCCTGGCTCTCGACCTTCTCCCTGCCAGCGCCCATTCGACAGCGGACGCAGACGGCAAGCAGCGCGGGCGATGCACCCTACGGCCATTTTTCCACGGGTGTCGACTTTCCACCGGGCTGGCTGTTCGGTCTGCGTTCATTTTGAGCTCTGTGACGCTGTAGCTTGAGCAGTCGGACTCGTGCGACGGGGCACAGTTTGCCAGGCGATTCACGACGTTGCGCATACCGTCACTGGGAGTGCGTGCGGGAATTCTGCGAGAATTCACGAGCTCGGTTGCTGCCCAGCCTGGCGAGCAGTTGATTCCAGGACACGACTTATGGGAGTGATGACATTACGATGGCGTGGGGAAGTATATCCTGTGCGCGGGCTGAGATGGATGTTATCAGTGCTTGATTTAGGGCAGAGTAACGAGGTCTTCCACACGTGGCCTGCAGTTGATAGAATATGGGTAGGGCGTCGGAATACATCTGAATCTGGCCCTCGGCAGCTTGAGGGGCCCTCCGCGGTCCTTTCATATAGGTTCCTGTAACCCTTAGCCTCCTGAGTAGACCCCTGTGCCGTGGCTCCGCAGGTGCCTCCTGACAAATGTTGAACCAACGTTCAATGGTGTGCCATTTTCTCCTATAAATCTGGTCAATGGGCTTCCTCCTCCAGTTCAAGGAGGATGATGGAGATTATATCATGGCATTCGCGTTGGGTGAGCATGTCTGGGGTGTTGGATCAGGCTCCAGACGATCGTGTAATCGCAGGGGGGCTTCATCGCCATGGCATCAGACTCGGAAGCCAGGCCTGGTTGAAAACACGCTTGATTCAAAGAGGGTATATAAGTAAACCTGTGCACGCTCCCCCACTGCCCTCGACGCTCACCCTTCATGAGAGTCATCCAACTGGATAATCTTCCGATCATACATGTCCTTCGCCACGGGATACACAGCCCTCGCAAAGTTGCTCTGCCTCTCGAACACATATCTCGGCGTAATAGCCTCAAACCCCCACGGGTTCTTGCTCGCCCTGCCCGGGCGGAACGCATGCAGCAGATACGTAAAAGACCAGTCGCGCGCCCATGGCGGGTTATTCCCAACAACGCCGGGCCCCTCGTCAAACTCGTCCAGCTCGTCGCCCTGCCTCTTCCCCTCGAGATTCGACTTTTCGCCAAAATGCGGCGCAAACAGCTCCGCGACATCCCCCGTCCCCCACCCGCCCGGCGCAAACGCGTCCCTCTCGACAATGAGCACCTCGCCCCCCTCCCGCACCAGCCGCTCCGCAACAGCCGTCAGCACGCCGTTGCTGTGCGTCTCCCACCGGCCGTCATACGCGGCGTTCATGCCCTCGATCCACAGCTCCGTCAGCCTGCTCCCCCTAGCGGCGAGGAACGTGCCGCTGTTGAGGTCCCCCTCCTTCTGCCGGCCGGCGACGCCCGGAAGCCGGCCCCGCGCAGCGCCGCCAGGTCGCGCAGCGCGTGGACGTCCCCAGTCGACGTAGACGCCGCCGAGCTCGTGCACGGCCCTGACACGCACAAAGTCCGACTTGTGCTCCATGCCCGTCAGCGCGACGCCGTTGCCGGCGTGCGTCGGGACCGCGACGGCGCGGACGGTCAGGCGCGGCAGGTTCAGGATCAGGGCGTTCCAGCGGCCGGAGGTGCCGGCGCGGGCGCGGGCGAGGGACGCCGGCCGCGCGTTGGTGTGGAAGTAGAGCGTGTCGGGGCGCCAGTGGTGCGCGGCGGCGTAGATGGCGAGGTAGTGGCTGAACTCAAAGTGGAAGTCGGCGTCGGGGTCTGGGAGGATGTAGACGAAATGGGCCGTGTTGGGGATGGCGTCCGCCGTCGTGTTGTGCGGTGGCGGGGGCGCGCTGCCGATGATGGACGTTACAATGTCCTGGATGCGGTCGCGCGTTGGCGTGTGATGGCCTGAGGAGGGAGGCGGGAGGTGAAGGTAATGTCGGGCGTCGTCTGGGAAGAAGAGGACCAAGATGGTGATGAGAACGACGACGGCGGTCGTAATGGCCTTGAGCCACAGAAAGCTCCTCTCGCGGGGTCTGCCGGGACGGCCTTTGAGGTGTAGTGGCTCGTACTCGCCACGGGGCTCGTCACCGTCTAACAATGGCAGTTGGAGACTCGGTGACATATCGATGCTAGGGGGCATAGCAGGCTCGAAAGATTCATGGGCAGAAGTCAAAGCAGTACATACGAGCCGTTCTCGAAACAGACATGCACCTGAACAGAGGAAAATGTGTAACACAAGAAGAAGAACCTGAGAGGTGGGGGGGGATCATCGACATCAAAAGACGTAACAAAGCCTCCGTCATGGCACGGTCTGCCATGTGCCCAACATACCGTCCATGAGAGCCGGGAGGAGGACAGGCGTGGAGCCAGCTCAGCTACAGGCGGAGCCAGCTCAGCTACAGGCGGGGCCAGCTCCTGTCAACAGTCATGGCCACACTGTGAGTACCGCAGTGTATCAGTTACGGTCGTCTCACCTGACAGGCAGCAGGATTTTGGGCATGGCGTGGGCGAGACGGCCAGTGGAAAGCGGTACAGACTTGGAAACATGCTTCACACTGCGGAATGGGAGGCTCGGCCACGCAAACAATGCCCAACACCAGGCTCCGCCATGTGGAAAACACGGCAGTGCTCCACTGGAAAGCCAGGCTGCCGTTTAGGGGGACGTTGCGAGGGAGGTGGATGGATGTGATTTGAGTTTCCCTTGTCGTGGGTTGGGGGAGTTTTGTTGTCGTCAGCTCTGGGCCGGAGTGATGTCAGCTTGGCCTCGACGAAACAAGTCAGCCTGGACTTGCTGGGCTATGCTGCTCGAAGGGCAGATGTTGACGCCGATCAGACAGATCTGGCGTCGCGACGGCTGTCAATCAATGCCTCTCTCTGTCCGTACAGCCTGTGTGGTCGCACATGTGTCCTAGGAATGGCTTCGGCATGCTGTTTTGCTCCGAGTCTGTATGGCTCCCCGCTTTCACCTTCATCAGGCGTCCTGGTCGAATTGCTGGAGCCTAAACCAAAGTTCAGGGCTCCATGTGGAATGATCCCAGAATATCCGGGCGTGAGCGCGGGCCGCTTCGCTTGGCAAATGTCCGTCTAGATGGTGTCCGTCAACTCAATTCGGTCCAGGCCAGCGAGTTCTGCCTCTTGCCTTGTTGTCTGCGGCAGCTTTGCCTGGCCCCTATCACATTGTCCGCTGGGCCGTGTACGGGAAATCTGACATGCATCCCGACTCCTGGGCTCCTTGGGTCAAGGCTTCGGCAGAGTGGTCAGATTGTGACCCGCCAAGCCTGAACGAAAACATTCACCAATAACGCTCATGGCCCACTCCGTTCGCACACTAAATGGGGAGTGATCCATGGGATCCTCCTGGCATTTGGGGGCCAAAGTGGAGGAGACAAGGGAAATTGGAAATGGGACGCTGGCTCGGCCCCCTTTGAACGAAGATCAATTGCAACCCATTCGGCAGTCCAGCCTGCTAGCACAGGGATACGCTCTGCCGCGGTTGTCCGTCTCGGCATGCCAAAAGCCCATGGCAAAGTGCGAATAAAGGACAAGGCATAAAGCTTCGAGAGACCTCGACGGAAAGTCCCATCCCACGCCGTCGTCTCACTCATGGATGCGGCTCCTTCAGTTGCTACAATGGCCCATCGCCTGTCCGGCACTTTGCCATCTGGCCATGCTATTCGCTCATAACCTCCGTCTCCCGCTTTTCGCGTCCATCCCGGCCTCTGCGCCTGCGACTGCGCCCCCGCCATACGCGCATAGGTACTGGCAATACGGGGGGGACACCCTAGACCCTCGAAAATGACGTGTCGCGGAGGATGAAGGGACAGATGGCCGATCTCGAGAACCAACGTCACACGAGGAACTCGACACGCGTACCCGTGTATTCCGCGGCGTCTGGTCCACTCAACGACCGCTGTCGTCCCACGGACCTGAACTCTGCGCTCCCGTGTCGACGCTTGTGTAATGCGCCCACCCTGGGGACACCACAAGCAGCACCAGCCGTGTGCTCCCGTTTTCGCCGTGCTGCGCTGACTCGATCAGACGGTTTCTCGGAGCCGCGGTTGCTGTGCAGCAGCCAAGACGCTGCTTTGAGGGAGACTGACAATCTGGTACACAGTGAGAAGTGCGTTTCCCATCACAGTCGCCTTGGCTGCGGCCAGTCAGGGCACCTGCAATGTGTTTCGCCAGGCACTCGGCAAAATGCGCAGCAACAGCTTGAGGCTGAGAAAGGCTTGTGTTCAACCTCAGCTGCGGTTCGCACCGATGTAGTTGATATCCGCTTTTGTGAAATATCCTCGCCTTTGCCACCTCATGTATGCCACACCCCAGATGCATGAAAATACCAGCATCGCGAGGTGGATGAGCAGGCCGCCGTATGATCAACACATGGATGCGCAACATGAACCGTTGTTTCCTGTACTGTTCGCGCACGTGCAGACACGAGTGGACATGGCGATCAAGGTGGCGCACCACGACAGCTGGGTGGTCAAGTTGCTGCCCTCGTTCTGTTATGAAATCTCTGTTGTGCTGAGCGTCCATCTGTTTTAGTGCATTGACATGTTGAATCAAGCAATTGGACCAAAGCTAGGCAGTTGGCGCCAAGAATGACTCGGCAGCTCTGCCGACGAGCAGGAGCTGGTGCTGTGGGATCATCATCATAGGACTTCACTGACCATGCAGTGTCAAAATTCAAAGACGCGATGAAATATTCGGGAAGATACCTCCTTTCAAGATGGCTTTTCTGTGCACATTTTGGAATAGACTGTACTGTCAATCCGGCTTGAGACATAACCATGACATTTGCAGGGATTTAAAGTTCTGTCAGGAACATAAAAGGTTAGACTTCATGAAGCACGTTCGGCGACTAGAAAGGATAAAGTTTGTGTAAACGGAATCCATCGCTCGACCGGCCCGACAGAAGGGCCTTGTGAAGAAATTCAAGAGTGTCAAAGGAGCCTCGCGACGAGTGAAGAAAGCAACTGTTTGTCTATTAGGGGCCTCTTGATAGGCAGTTGGCGCCCTTTCTCGAACTCTGGTCCCTGGGCCTTCCCTACAACTTCTCCCTCGCTGCGCTTGGTTCTCTATCACGGTCCCTTCCGGCCCCGACAAAGGACCCACTCAAAGTGGAGCGCCGCATCAATTTGGAGAATATACATGTACGACGACCACCAAGAGTCTGGCAATAGACATGACTGCCAAGCTAGGTGGGAAGGAGAAATTGTGAGTGTGGACTTTCAACTACAAAGCTAGCAGAAGCTTTGGTCTGGGCCAAGGATCTGCGGGTTACGAAGTCTGCATGACAGAAGTGATTGAGCGAGCGAACGGACTCGAATGGGCGCGTTATCATGTAAATAGTTTCGAAGAAATCCAGCCGTGCCCACTTAATTACTGAGGCCATGTGGTTATGTTGGGTATTCAATCTCGATTTTGAGATCTTACAGTATTAGTACTACCTTACTGTCAGAGCGTTGGGTAGAACAGAGTGAAGAGGTCTTCCGCACGTAGTCCGCAGGTGATAGCTTTCAAGTTAGGGGTTGGAATACATCTGGATTCTGGCCCTCCGCAGCCTATATATATACGTTTCTCGTAGCCCTTAGCCACCTGGTTGACCCCCTCCTTGGCGGCTCCGCAGGGTCGCCTGACAATTACAAGTTGGTCCAGGGTGACTGTTACGTAGGCCCCAAAGGGGTTTGATAGCAGCCCTCAATTGGTCATAGGTGCCTTACGGCAGCTATCCAGTTGAGATAAAACGATACATGTTGAATCGACGTTGAAAGAAGCCACTAGACTGGGCTGCTCCCTTTTCAAATCCAGTCCCACACTTGCTTCTATGTGTGTTAAACTCTCATCCGGTTGTTGTTGGGCTTGCAAAACTTTGTCTTTCCTGCCTTTCCTTGCACAAGATAGTTTGGTGCCTGCGTTGGGTATGTTCACCACTGAGAACCTGCATCCCACCAATCGTAGGCGGAATGGGAAATAGTCTACTCTTTCAGTTTTGCAGCTTCCAGAGAGGCAAGAAGCCATTAGCGAGGCATTGGCTATGGTAACTTGCCCACGCCACGACCTGGCATGCGAGCACACTATCAGGCTGCACGTCCACCGCCACGCGTGCCTGATGCTCATGATACTCCGTAAAGGGTGTTGGTATCTGCATGCAATGGTTCATACCGTCTCCAAGAGCTTTTTCAAGCATGCAGCCGCGGAAGCTTGCGCGGCCTACGTGTTGAGAAGCATCCTCAGTGACGTATCGTTGCTACGCCCTCGCTACAAACCGCTGGTGATGAGCACATGATATCGTGTTGAAGGAGTTTTAGGCAACAGAATGCCGAATAAAGCAGGTGAATAGGGTGAGGGGCTCAGGTTCTGCCACACATTCATTTCAGTGAGGGCGTCATTCTCGGCGCCGTGATCCTTCGTGGCTGAGCATTACGAATCAACCACCAGCTTCTCAATGTTGCGATATGTCAGCTTCAACCCCTGATGCAGAATGAATCGCGAAAGCTCAACAATATCATCATGTTGCGTGATATATTGCTTGAATGATGATAAATATACGCTCAAGGACCTCTGGCAGAGTATTGACAATACCATTGAACCAACACCAACAACACTCTGGACAATTATATGAAACGTAACTCTTACTACAAAACCAAGATGCTTCTTTTTAAACCTTATTTTCGTCGTCGAGGTTGCAAGCGCAGTCCTTGTTCCCCAGCCACCCGGTCCTTACGCCGTTGCCGTCGAGCATGTCGAGCTCGTCGACCATATTCGCATCGACCCGTTCGCGCCCGAGGCCAATACCACACGCCGGTTCATGTCCTCAGTATTTCTCCCAATCGAATCACAGTATGGTTGCGAGTCGCAAGTAGTGCCGTACATGCCTCCCCTGACGGCCAGCGTCTTTGCGAGGCCTGCTGAGCTGCTCGGCTTGCCGCCAGCGATGGTCTCCTCTTTTGAGATGGCATTTTGCGATATCTCGACAATCTACCTGGATGCAATCGCCGACAAAGAGGAATTCCCTTTGGTCGTGTTCTCGCATTGTCTGGGCGGCACAAGGTTCATGTATAGTGCGATGGCGAGGTCGCTGTCGAGCCTGGGTCTTATTGTTTTGGTGCTCGATCACACATACGAGACCGCGGTGGTGGAGTTCCCGGACGGGAGCGCTGCGTTCTCATCTGATCCGGAGTTAGCGAACTCTACGGTCACTCTCGAGGGACTAGAGGTAATTCGCAGTCCAGAAGACCATTGCTACAGCGAGCAGACACACAAGGAAGACAAACGTTGAATGTCCAGGTCCGAACTGCGGATGAGATTTTCCTCATCTCCCAACTGTCGAATAAGACGCTCACGGACTCCATATTCGGGAAATTCCCCGGCACCTTTGACCCCCACAGAGTCGTCGTCTCGGGGCACTCGTTCGGCGGTTCCACCGCCGCAGCCGCCGCGCACCACGTCGCCCGCGTCGTCGGCGGCCTTAATTTCGACGGCCCGATCCTCCCGCCCGTGGACGCGGAAGGCTTCGAGGGCAAATCGTTCGTGCTCGTGTCCCAGTCCATCGGCAACGATTCGGCGCCGGTGCCGTTCTGGGAGGACTTTTACGGCAACCTCAAGGACGCCAAGATGCAGCTGGCGATGAGGGACACCAAACACTACGCCTTTTCCGACATACAGCTGCTGCTGACGGTGTATCGGGTCCTCGCGGCGTCGCAGCCTCGGGTGGATGCCTTGTTTGGTAAGCTGGACGGCAAGAGGGTTGAGGGTGCGATGAACGAGATCACGGTCGGGCTGGTTGAATTGCTGTTTAAGAACCGAACGGCGCCGCTGAGGAACGTGGGCGGGAATCCTGATATTGCTGTCCTTCTCAGTAACCTCCCTGGGTGCTAGTAGCCGCGATCAAGGGTTGGGTTGGCTGAATACAAAGATACGGAATACGATGTATCTGGCTGTCTCCTTTTGATGGCCGTTCACTAGTGTGCATTTCGAGTCACCCCATCGTGCATATTGACAATGTCTGGCGTTCTGGTTGCAACCTTCTTGAGCATACATGGTGTTCCCAATGGATCATGGCGACGCATGGATGTACTGAAGAACCTTTCGTGGAGGCCTAGGTAGTCTGGCATGATAGCGCCATGAATTTCCACGCCTCCATCGGATGCAGTTGCACGCTCAGCTCGCAAGTGCGTCGCAGTCGGTCATGCAGCAGTGTCCATGTCAATGGACGCACAATCGATATCGTCGATCAACCTCCGAAGTACTGGGGAATTGGTGTACACGACGTGTCAACTCTCATAGCTGTCAAGGCACCATGTGTATGAAGTCTGTATATTCAGTCATCTCCATTTATGAACAGGCCCAGATCAGGAAGTGCATCGATATTCGTCGACGACAGCAACCCTCCACCCAGTCACACATGTCCGTCTACTCATTCAGCGTCCTCGTGAAGGTCTCTGCATGCATCGTCATCATCGCCACCGACTAGGCCTTCTTCGGCTGCGCAGCGACGCGGCCGCCGCGGGTGAGGAAGTGCAAGGTGGCGTAGAAGACAAGGGCGGCCTCGAGCGCGATGAAGCCAATGAGGATGCCGTTGAGGACATTCTCCTCGTAGCCGAAGCAGAGACCGTCGAGGCGGTCGCGGAAGACGGGGAAAGCGCCAAAGGTAAGCATGACGAATTGGAAGCCGTAAAAGGTGAGCCAGTAGGGTCTGCGGTCTGTCAGTCTGGGTTTCTCGAGCTGGTCCCGAGCTGGTTCTCGAGCTGGATCTCGAGCGGGATCGGGGCTGCCACGACAGAAAGAAGCACGCACGTTTGCTCACGGGTCAGCTTGGTCCATTGGGTCGGCTCGCCGATCTGGGACATTTGCACGGCGAAGAGAATTCCGCCGAGGCACCAGGTCCAGAGGAATCCCATGCGCTGGAGGGGCTCGAGGGTGTTGGCGATGTCGATGGCGCGGTTGGCCGCGTCGGTGAGGAGGGCGACGACCATTTTGACTGTGGCAACGGGGCGGGGAAGGTTGCAATTAGGTAGGTACCTAGGGTGGTAGAAGGGGTACTATCGAGAGTGTCGGTGGTAGATTGGCGCAAATGAGGGGTCGTTATGCGATGGTGACGATCAATTCGGCAGATGTTGCACGGTCGCAAGTCTCAGTCGCAATCTCAGTCGCAGTCTCAGTCGCAGTCTCAGTCGCAGTCACAGTCTCAGTCAAAGTCGCAGAGCTCGAGAACACTCCAGACAATCCACGCCGAGGCAGCAAACAGCGCGCCGTGGCACTTTTATTCTTCAGAGTCTGGAGCCTCGCGGATCGCGCTATTCTCTTATCGCATCGCCAAACATCTCCACGTGTTCTTATCGAAGCGGGGAGCGCAATCTTGACAGGGCAGCGCAGGGCAGCGCTAACCCCAAAGGGGACGCGGGCCTCTTGAGCCGAGCGCACCAAGCCCGATACAGCGTCGAGGGCCTGCTGGGGCTGCCCGCTATGCCCTGAACGTCCCGTCAACCCGCCCAACCAGACACAGACCGAACCTCACCGGGGCAGCCAGGCACCAGGTCACACGCCAGCCTTGTTCTCCGCTCCATCCTTCCCCAGACACATCGGCTCCAGGGTCCAGACTCCCGTCCTCTCAACTGTCCGACGGTCCCTTTGCCTATCCGACGGCCTACACACCTGTCCGACGGATCCTACCGCCGACGACAACAAGCATGATGTCCCAGATACTCCAAGTGTCCCGGCCCAACGCCAAGCCAATGCAGCGTCATCTGCTCCGTCAAACTCGCTACCAACGATGACTCAAAGACCCTGGACCCGGGCTACACCGATCTGGATCGTGTCTGATGGGCATCCGAGGTGGGATGGTTCGTTCAAGGTTAACGAGCCAGGCATCCGGGGGACACCTGGCTACTAATACTCCATCAACGCCTTCCATTCACCAGACGCCTCTCTGCTTCCGCGACGTCAGCCTGCTTTTGAGCGCAAACTGCCTCATCTCGCAAGCACTGCCTGGTCCAAGCAAATCGGCTTCACTCGCCAATTCGGCCTCTCCCGCTGTCCCTTCTGGGCCTTGCCCGGCATGAGTCAATACCCCTGCAAAATTGTCACGATGTCCAATCGCCGCCAAGGTTAACATGGCTAGCTGCCTGCGACCTACAGATACCGACGCCAGCCTTTCTTGTTCGCAATCGAGGTTGGATGCTGCAAAGGGTAAGAAATGAAAACTCCCGTTTGGTTGGAAACAGACACTCAGACAAATCTCAGGATCGACACCAAGCCGCCAATAAGAGACTCGTTCATCTGAACCTTTTCGACCAAACATCCCTGGTGGAGTCGACGCCCAAACGCCTGTCCTACCAACATCGCCCAACCCCATAGCAGCGACCACACCACGGTGATGCGCCAAGACCGCCCCCTCATGGCCTCCTCCCCACCAAGAGAATCGAGCCTGCACCAACCCTGCAGATCCGGGACCAAGCGGTAGCCCCCAGTCGCTCGCCAGTCCTCGTTGAGTTCAAACTCCGCCACCATCAGTCTACCAAAGCCGGCCGCCCTCCTCCGTGCCCCCCGAAAGCAGGATGACGGCCCATCGCCGCTCGGCTTGGCGATCGGCCACCCTCGAGGGGTCCGGCTCATCCGTCTCCGGGCTTGCCCCTTCTGGTCTGAATGCCCTCACGTAACAGTGGGCAGAGGCAAACATTAAATACCGTCCAGCGTGGGCCTCGACTGGTAGCGAGCATCTCTTTTACTGCATCTTCCTAGCCAGGAGAACAGCCACCACTCTTCGAGACAATCCTTCCCACACATCGAAATGCGTTCGTCCCTTCTCGCTCTGGCCCTGGCCCTCGCCGGCCAGCAGGTCGCGGCGCAGGTGCCTGCCGGCTTCGCCACGACCAAGGGCAACAAGTTCCAGGTCGACGGCAAGGATTTCATCTTCGCCGGTAGCAACGCCTACTACTGGCCCTTCAATGTGGTATGCAAGCCTCCAAGCTCGCCTTGATCCATGGCTTTGTACTAACGAGCATCCCTAGTGGGGAACCGACCACTACTCGGATGTCGTCGTCGGCATGGACGCTGCTCTCGATGCTGGCCTCAAGGTCATCCGAACCTGGGCCTTCCACGACCAGAACGCCACGACCATCTCTGGCGGCTTGCCCCGCTACGGCACCGGAGGTGAGGCGACCATCTTCCAGAAGTTCAACGCCGATGGAACCGTCACCATCGACCTTAAGCTCCTCGACATTGTCGTCAAGGCTGCCGAGGACACCGGCATCAAGCTGATCCTGGCCCTCACCAACAACTGGGCCGATTACGGCGGCATGGATGTCTACACCGTCAACCGTGGCGGCCGCTACCACGACGATGTGAGTGCTGCCCTCGGGCTTTATGTGGTTCCATACTAATTCTCTCCAGTTTTACCGTCTGCCCGCCATCAAGACGGCCTTCAAGAACTACGTCTCCACCGTCGTCAGCCGCTACAAGAACTCCCCCGCCATCTTTGCCTGGGAGGTGGCCAACGAGGCCCGCTGCGGCGCCGATGGCACCCGCAACCTGCCCCGCGGCCCGGCCTGCACGACCGACCTGATCATCGACTGGCTCGACGAGATGTCGACGTACATCAAGTCCATTGACGCCAACCATCTCGTGACCACCGGTACCGAGGGCCACTTCAACCGCGCCTCGTCCGACTGGGCGTACAACGGCTCCGACGGCAACGACTTTGACGCCGAGCTCGAGCTGCCCAACGTCGACTTTGGCACCTTCCACTCGTACCCCGACTGGTGGTCCAAGACGCCCGCCTGGACCGACACGTGGATCGTCGACCACGCCGTTGCCGCCCGCGCCGCCGGCAAGCCCGTCATCCACGAGGAGTACGGCTGGCTCACGGCCTCGAAGCGCCAGGAGTACCTCGGCCAGACGAGCCCCTTTGGCCGCGTCGAGGTCCTCTCGCGCTGGCAGGACATTTCCCTGCGCGAGGAGATGCCCGACCTCTACTGGCAGTTTGGCTTTGGCGGCTACTCGTACGGCAAGAACCACGACGACGGCTTCACCATCTACCTCGAGGACGCCGAGGCCCAGCCCCTCGTCTTCCAGCACGCCGCCCGCGTCAACGCCCTCTACGGCAGCCCCCAGCCCACCACCACCGTCGCCCCGCCCGCGCCCACGACCACGAGCAGGCCCGCCACTACGACCACGTCCCGGCCCGCCACCACCAGCACGTCCCGGCCCGCCACCACCACCAGCACCGTCGCCCCGCCCACCACCACCACGGCCCCCGCCGGCCCGACCCAGGTCCGCTGGGGCCAGTGCGGCGGCCAGGGCTGGACCGGCCCCAAGGTCTGCGCTGCGCCGTACACGTGCCAGGTGCAGAACGCTTGGTACTCGCAGTGCCTCTAAGTGCTAGGCGGATGGGCAGGCCGTGCTTGGTGTGAGGATCACGGGCATGGGCTGGGATGCGTGTACATAGGACTGTTGTGCCTGTTCTTAGGATTCACCTGTATATATTGATCATCATGTTGGGAAAAGAAATGTTCGTTGATGTTGCACTTGGCCATGTGTTGAGCTACCAGTGATATGGGGCTCACTGATTATAGGGAGCACGTAGCCTGGAATACAACACTCAACTCACACCACGGACACAACTAAATGTACCTGTCGGGTGGCCCTGCGGAGCCACAGAACCTGGGGCAGTTTGAGAGTTAAGACTACGAGAACGTGTATATAAGGATTGCGGAGCGCCTGAATTCAGATGTATTCCGACCCCTATTGCCTGTGGATCACGTGGAAAAGACCTCTCACTCTGCTCCGAATCCAGCACTGCCACTACTGTCTCGAGCTCCCAGCCACAGCCTGAGCTGTGGACAGGGCTACGCTGACAGCAAAGTCCATCCAATACAACTCTGATATAGATGGAAAATTTGATAAATCATCGTCAAGTCCTCTGGAAGCAACGCTGTGTTGACCTCTCTTGCCACAACGGCATGTCCTTGAAGCTGCTAAGACGGCCGTATTGGTCTAGTACCGACAGGCCAGACCAGCGAGAACCGTCCAATTGGCGGCATGCAGGTGAGGCTCGGCCGCACGGCAATGTCAGGTTTCCAGGGACAGTGAGGACAGGGACAGTGAGGTCAGGGACAGTGAGGATATTGAATGTCCAATTGATTCCCAAGAAAAAAAGAAAGCCTTTGCTACCAAGTATATCTTTGACCATCCCAGCGAAGATACACAAGAAAGGAACGGAAAGATATCAAGTTGATGCAAATGGCGCTACTTATAGATCCCTCACTTCAACTCTCAATCGTCATTGTACGCCCACCAAGTCTTGAACCAACGCCATGATATCCCCTGCGATCTATCTCGACCAGCTGTCAAGGCAACGAGGCGACGAGGCCTCCGACTCCATTAAACCCGACCCCACCATTTCACCCTCTGCGTCCGTCCTTCATGAGCTGGCTCATCCTAGACGCTGCTTCTGGGTACCAGGCACCAATCAAGTGCCTACATCAACGCCACACCATCTGCCCACCACCACCGAGGGCGATTCTGGCAGTCACCGGGTTCGGCTCCTGCAGGTAGCGCTCCATGGCTACGCTGCTGGGGGGGAGCGCCTTGGGCAGCCTGGGTGTCACCCACGCCTTGGCTGCATCACGCTTTGTCAGAGAGGGTGCCCTGACATTCCCCGGCACGAAAGAAGGAGACTTACTCGCTCACGGCGTCGAGGTTGAGTTCGGTGTGGCTGGAAGCCTTGTGTGAAGACTTGCGGGAGGACTTGGCCGGAGTCTTGTGTGGCATGTTGAAAGTAGAAAATGGGTCTATGTGTGGGTGTGGTGATTTTTCCGGGGGGGGGGTGCAAAAGCTGTCGGCTCCGATGGTGGTGCTTGTAGTGATGGCGATGGTGATGCTTGTGATGGCGTTGATGGTGATGGTATGTGATCAGGAGAGAAACGGAACATGGCAGTGGGCACCATAGTGATTTTCTTTTATACTTGATCGTGTGGTCCATTTGATGCTCAAAGGTAGTTTTGCAAAGTCAGTCAAGCATCCTGAGATCAGCGATCGTGGGAATCCCGGGTTGCAAAGCCAGTCGAAATCAGTGCCGGCGAAAAATGACAGCTTAGAAAAAGTCCGCATCATCATAAGGTTAGGCTGTTTTGCGAGTTTCGCACTACTCCATGTCAGATTCACAGCTCCTGCAAAACATCCTAGTCTTGGGTCTGCAGGTCTCGCAGGATGTGCAGCAGCTCACTGGGTGTGCAGCAAGGCACTCTGGGCCTCCTTGGCAGGCTCCTCTGCCCGGCTCTTCGTGCATTTCATGCAGCCTGCACAGAATGGTGCGCGAACCACCTCTGCCACTTCTCTATGGGCACCACTGCCTCTTCTCGATGGGTCGTGTCTTGATTTATCTTCCTCGTCTCTTCTTCACTGAGCTATCAACCTCCCCATCCATCAAGTTTGGGGCGCCACATCCCTCCCGTTGTCAGACAACGAGGAGCGCTCACCGAATCAATCAAGTATAATAACATATCTAGCAAGCTGACAATCTCAGGTGAGCTCTAACGTATACATTCCTTGTTGTGGTTTCTCACTCACACTATCTTAGCCACCTTGCACAGAGGTCCGCCATGATGGGCACCGCCACCAGCCCTGCCGATCCGCCACACCCCCGAAGTCATCAAAAGGGCTTGTCAACCCGAACCCAGGGACTCCGACAGCGCATCTAATCTAAGACAGCCGAATACAGACGTTCTCTTTGGGGAAGCATCAAAACAGAGTTCTGCGCCAGGGAGACCTGCCCCATCGCCCCCAGTGGAAATGACTACTGCCCAAGACCCTACCATCGCGGCCGAGTCGCAGTATTTATTTCAGGAGAGTAACCTAAGCTCTTCACTCGGAAGCCACCCCGAAAGCCAACAGCAAGCCCTGAGACTTCCAAAGGAAGACTCCCAGCACCTGCAATCGACTCCATCCGATAGGCGTCCAGCAGCCGCTACCTCGTCTGACCTTCCAACAAGGGATATTTATACTGAGGGCATTACGGACAGCGAAGGCGAGGCCGCCCAGGCTTCTTCTGTCTCGCCCGATATTGTCGCAGTTGAGATATCGAGACCCTGTGTCGACTTATCTCGTTCTACAACGATCTTTGCCCGGCCGGAAGATGTGTCCCGTGGTCTCGATATACTGAGCATTAATGGTATTAAACTTGTCCTGTTGCCACGATTCGTTGCTAATCATCTTTAAAGGTCTGGAAGATGGTCTGGGCAGACAAGGATATAGGCTCAGAACCGAGACCCACCAAGCCCCTCGCAATGATATGGTCAACGCCGGCATCGGGCCTGTAATCATCGTAACCTCGAACATGGCAGCTTCACTTTCTTGTCGTGACGAGTCATTCCTCAGCCTTTCGTCTTGCGAGTCATTCCTCAGCCTTTCGTCTTGCGACTCAATTCTCAGCCAGGTCACACGACGGTCTACAGACGGCACAGACAAGTCCTACGCCTCCGAAGCTTTTACCTCCGCATCGCGAGCTTCAACCATGGCCTCTGCAGCATCTTCTGATTGTAGCTGGCACGCTGTTCCATTCATGCACGCCTCACAGCCCGAGCTGGTTTTTCTTGCCGAGCAAAACCACTCCAAAGATAACGACACTCCACTTTCGTCGATCAGCACGGCGCAAAAGCTCCTGTACCTTCTTACACGGGCTAACCCTCATGGCCGATGCGATAAGCAGCATCTGCAAGACGAGAACGAGGGTTCTCGAAGGCCGCGACCACCGAGTCCTGCTTCGTCGCAGGCTCGGGGGAGACGTAGTCAACTGGACCAACACGTCGATAGGGGTGACGTTCCGGATGCTTTCGCCACTCTTAGCGCGACCGTTGAAAATCGGTCAACGGAGCAAAGTTTCAATGGAGTGTTATCTCTGAGCCTTCCTGTCAAGCGCAAAACCAGTACTCTAGCCATGGAAATTGTTTCTCCGATTATCAGAGCTTCCGCAATCAAGGGGAGACCTGTTGAGGCAGGGCTTGTTGTAAAAGCTCTCGGGCGGACAGGCCGTACTCTTGTGGCTACGAGGCCTATGCCAACCAGAACTCGAACTGAAGGGCAAATGAGCGATCGATCGCCTAGCTCCGAGCCCAAAAGACGCCGAACCCTCAGCATAATTGAGGAAGCCCGTGTGGAGCCCAGTGGTGGTTCCAGTGGCCCGCGGCCCACCGCCGATCGGGTGCCCGATTTTCTCGAAACAGAAGCACGGGATCATAACTTGCTTGGAGCGTCTCTCTCAAGCTCCGAGCGCACGTCTGAGACGGCATCTGCGAGCGACCTCGTGGCAACCCCCCGTGAACACTCCCCGGCAACCCGTGCGTCGTCTGTTCCTGCCCCTATGGAGATAGATTCTGAAGAAGAAGCTTTCCACAACGAAATCATGTCTGATACGACAGATGAGTCGGATGATCACTACATGTACGGAGACGAAGTCGATTCTAATGATTCCGAAGCCGACCCCTTCAACTGCACGGCCAAAGAGCAGACGTCGGCGACCCCGTCCGGAGTGCACGCCTGGGTCAAGTCCGTGGCGAACGGCACCACCGGCGGCAACGCGCCTGCAGGAAATAGCAGCGGAGCCTTCCAGTGCATGGGGCCCTCCGGCGGTTCCGGGGCTGGCGGAGCTGACAACAGAAAACGGCGTCATAGCGGGGCCGACGGTCGGGACGTCGATGAGGGGCGGGGTAACGGACACGGCAAACGTCCGAAACTGGGCGAAAAGGGCCAAAGAAATGCAAACTATGCATGCCCCTTCTCGAAACGATACCCTCCTAACCTGCTGCCGACAGCCTGCAGAAAGGGTTGGCCAGAAGTACGGCTGGTGAAGTATGCAATTCCAATTTGCTGAGACCCTCCACTCAACATGATTACATGCCAACTTCGAGACGAGGTACTGACAGAATATAGGCAACACCTTTATCGCCACCATGTGCATGAGCGCTGCCCGCGGTGTCACGCAACTTTCAGATCTATAGATCAGTTGAACAAACATCTTTGTCTTGAACAGCAATGCCCAATCATACCTGATCCTGGCACCTCGATCGGCATTGATAGAGAAACCAAGATCAAGGTCAAGTCTAGAGTTGGGATCCAACGACAGCCAGAACACGTCCGCTGGACAAATTTGTACAAGATACTATTCCCAAACTCAGACGAGGTACCGTCGCCATGTATGTCACCTACCTCGCAACGTATGGTGATAAAAGACCTCCTGTTGACTGCAAGATAGATTGCGACGTATCATCGACCAGCACTTTACCCAACAACGAGCTACTCCAGTTGTTGCACGGTAATCTCTCTGAATCGGTCCCCTATGAAATCGATCGAAAGCTCTCAGACTACCAACCGAGCCTGGGAATCAGCCCCTCTCACCTGGAAATCATCAAGCACGTCTGTAAAGAGGTCATGAACGCAAAATTCTCTGTATTCACAGAGTCACTGGAAGAAACCGGAGGGGTCCCGCAAACGACATCGCCTGATCTGGTCCCAGAAGTGGGACCCCCCAGCACAGCCGCTGAGAACACGCAATTCACTGCTGACGAGTCTACTCACATGAATGGTGGCGATGACCACACCCTCAGTCAGTTTATGGATTCCCATGGCTATGGCCAGGATGGGTACAGTGCTGCTCCAATGGATTTTGGAGCAGACTTTGAATTCAATCCCGACCCGTGCACGTCAGCCCATGGCGTGTACTTGCCACAGAACTTTTCATTCTCGGGAATCGAAGAAGCAGAACCGAAGGGAAAAGAGAAGGAGCTTTTTTGAAGGACCAGGCTGGTACTCCGTTGACGGTGTAGCCACGAAAGGGTTAAGATTTGTGTTCAGAGGCGCCTCCACATTCACTTATCCGAGCAGAGCGGGCGAAATCGTGTTAGAGACGCTGTTGGAGAGAATTTTCATTCGGGGTATTCCCTATAATACACGCAACCAGCAGTTCCTGTCTCACAGGCCGAACTCGCCCCTTCCAGACGTAGCCTCGTGGCGCCGTGCCCCGCATGAGCTTCGGATACTGTCGACTTGTCCATGCTGATCCATTTGACCAGCAGGCGCTTGAGTTCCCCTCCGCGCAGATGCAGAGTTCTTCGGCCTTCTTGCGTCTACCGTATCCGCTGGCGCATCGAGCACCCACCTCGCAACATCGGCTGTCCTCTTGCTGAGTGCTCTCTCGCCGAGTATGGGGCACTGGTTTCCGATGGCAGCAACGGATCGGCATGGCTTCTGCGCAGTATGAACCTTGTCCCACGCCAATGCCGGCCTGTCATTGCTGCTGCCACTCGTCCCCTGCAGTGGTGCGGGGCGTGGTGCGGATGAGGTTTAAGGGCTGGAATGCCAGAGTTGGGAGAGCATTGAAGTCTCCGAACTCCTGTGGATCGAATCCCCTTGATGATGCTGACTCAAGGCTTTCTCATGAAATTCCGGGAGAGTGATGGTGTTTTGTTAGATACATGCACTGACCTTGATCAAGGCAACAGTGAAATTCGGTGTAAAGAGTATTCGTAACCCCCGGACACTCGGTAGCGTCACACTGCCCGGCAGTTGCACCCATTTCTTTGAAAATGAAATTGATCTCAGGTACAGAAAATGCGGACCAAAAGGACCCATCTAACGTGGCAGAAATGGGCTTGAAAGCCAACCAAATCATAAACATACCCTATAGTACATTCAAAATAAGCTATAATACCTAATAATGTCAGGCATACTAGGTTATCTCTATATCTATAGTAAGGGTTATAGGTAGATTATGTAAGGTTGAGGTTAGGCTCTAGGTTCCGCAGGCCACTGCATTGAAGCCATCGGCTGATTCTCTGCGGATAAAAGACATGACGAGTTTTGGGTTTTGACGCTGAGAAACTCCGCAACTTAATCTACATTAAGCATATGCTTTCCCATACACTGAAGTAATTTGCGCCGGGCAGGTGAACAAGCCAATAATGTCTAAACATCGCGAGCCTACCAGGATACATATTATAAGAACAGCAACGGGAGCAGACTTCGACTCTGCATCCCGTTCCGAAGTCTCGTGTGCATGGAGCAGCGCTTGAGCTATCTCAAAGCGACCAAGCGGATAGTCGAGTACTGGCGGTTCTCTCGGGCGCGAAGTACATTATAGATGGGAATCGGTTGATTTCTCTGATTTCTTGCGTCCTCGATCAGCCTCCGTTCTCGTTCAAGTTTGTCTCGAAGTCTCTGATTCACCCAACACTGGAAATAACGCCCACGAACAAAACGCCCGATCCCAACTACGGATTGACCAAGGCCAGTCGCAGATCATGTTGCCACCACTCCTCATGGCCGCGTTGCCCTTCTTGGGCCTTCTGGGATTTTACGGGCCTGGCAAGGATGCAGTGAAGCTTCTCGGCAAGTCGGCGACGGCAAGCAACCCCCAGCCAAAAAAGTACCAGCCAAACAAGTACCAGCCAAACAAGAACCAGCCAAACAAGTACCAGCCAAACGTGTACCAGCCAATCGTGTTCCAGCCAAAGGTGCAAGTCGGCATTAGCATAAGCCAGCCTGAAAAGGATGGAAAATTCACCATCAAGTCCAATGCCAGTAGTGAATTGGGAAACGTGTAAGGGGACCGGCCTTGTTGGCGGAAGCAGCGCTGACCGTGTCACCAAAGTATCTTGTTCAATACCAACGGCGATTTCATCGGCGACCATGATTTCAAAGGTGATTCGGGCACCATAGTTCGGGGAAAGAATGACGGCATCTCTGAAGGCACAGTGGCTCTTGCTCAGCCGCGCGCGTACAAGGACCAACAAGCCATGTATACAGTCTTCAACGGCGGCGAAGTCCCTGTCTGCGTGGCATGGGCGACATTGACGACGCCGGGAGGGGACGGGTACCTGTGGACTGGAGACACTGGCGAGCTCTGCGGCGAGGACTGGTACTTCAGCGGACTTCGCGACGCGGGCTTCACGGGGATCGATGGTTACGAGCCAAAATGCATCTGGATCAGCAGCTCTTACGCGAAACAGTATCCTAACAGCGGGTTTCAGATTCACTGGCCCAGCTACAAGCCGCAGAAGCGTCCAGGCGCAACGGGAGATGGCAAAGAGAGCTACATCATGCCATCCTTCCAGAAGATTCTCCACAGAACGTGCGACCCCGACAGCGCCGTGTTCAGAATGCACAAGTATCCCGATATTTACACGTCGAATATTGTGGGCTACCGGCAGTAAGTCTCCTCGCCACTTGTGGTTACGAAGTCCTTGAGCACTGCTGATCATCCGGTGTCAGCCATATCAAACTCTTACGCAATGCCGGAGAGAAAATCGAACAGGACGCCGAGAAATCGGAAACACCTCAGCATGCAGTTAACTTTACCCGAGCCGACTACGAAAAGATGATTGCCAAGTTTGCGGAGAAAGCCCATCATAAAGCGGGTGATCGGACCCCCATGGAGAAGCCTTGGACAGAGTGCGAAGTGGTCACTATTCGTCAGGAGAACCACAGACGAGCCGAAGCTCTGGCAAGAGGTGAAGAGTACAAGTACAAAGATGTTTCCCGGGCCGGCTGCCCGCAAAGTCGCCGAGTGGAGAACCTGTTCAACAGACCCTGGGGAAAGGAAGGATACCTAGACGTAGGTGAAGGGCGGGCACGGCACTCGAAACGCCAACAAGACGGAGGAAATGAGGCCGCAGCCCTGAGCGGCCCATCGACGGCCAGCGACCCTGCCTCAGCCAGCCAGGATCTCCCAGGACCAGAGAACCCGTTTAACTGGCTTGTGGTTGACTCCTTCGTTGGCAACAGCGCCGCCTATCTCTGCAGCAGCAAGTCGTCGCGCGGACCCGACTTTGCCAACGCCAAGGAGGAGATGTTCTGCCACATGTCGGACAAGACGCTGCACCCATTCTGCGCAGCTAACGACAAGAAAACGGCTGATGGCGGTCCTTGCTTCGACCTCGAGTCGCAGCAGCTTGTTCGCGGCGGAATTGTCAAGAGACATTCCCCCTACGTCGCTGTGATGGACTGGCGGTTCAGAGAAGGGCGGGATGGAGCCAAGGTGAACCTGAGTCGTTGAGGGTGGTGGCCGCCGCGGCACCACAGGAGGAAGCTTGTTTTGTTGTTGAAGGGGCTAAGTAATGGTGGAGGATTCTGCGCAAGGTTTCGTTAGTGTTTAGGGAAGTTTTCTTTTGTCCGGTTTTTTGCTACTATGGCCACGAAGACGAATGCAGGTGTGGTCCAGGCTATCTTGAGGAGCAGTTGACCTGACACCAGGCCGAGCAACGCTGATGTGACCTTGGATTGCGCATCTTGGTGGGCCTGGACTCAACGATATTGCGTCAAGTCATGATGCGGTGGTCAATGATGACCACGCTAGTACTTCAGGATGTATCACATGTGCCCCAAGTCAGAAATAGTGTTATTGAACGTTTCTCGATTAACCGGCGAAAACCAGGGACACTGTGCCAGGCTCCCAGACTGTGACATTCAAGATCAAGATTGGGGCGGCCTTTTCACATCTATGGAAGCGGGAATTCGGGAGTGGAGACTCTGGTCGAGCCGAGCTCGGCTCAAAAGTCATCACAGCCAAATCTTGCGCCGACATCTCCACTACACTCTTGGACTCTCACCACCACACCAAAGCCACGGCCGACAAGCTCGTGGCAGTCGTGCTGCACTGAGGGTACCCTTTTCTGTCTCGGAAACACGTGGCATTGTAGCCGAGACGAATCATCTCGATGGACCCCCTGGGAAGCTCGCTGTTGTACCGGAAGAATGGTCGCGCTCAGGCGTGCGAGCCATGCCGAAAGCGCAAGGTGGGATGTGATCATGGCCAGCCCGTCTGCAGCCGGTGTCGAAAAGGAAAGAACCCAGAGGCCTGCGAGTACATTGTCGAGAGCCCGACGCGTAAGCGGTCTCGAGAGACTTCATCGCCGCCCCCGGCCGCGTCCTCGGTCAAAGTGCATCGCACCTCGCAAGCCGAACCTCGCAGCTCCCGGCTGCCATCGCCAAATTCGACATCAAGTGTCGCCGTCATCACGCGCCCAGTGTCCGCGCCGAAAGACGCCGTCGCCGTCTACGGCTTCCAGACACCCGACAATGCAAGCCCCCAACCCGTGAACACGGCGCCTGGCTTCCTCGGCTTCACGTCCTTCAGCGGCATCTACGATGAAGCGCGCAGCAACCTCTCGCTCCTCCACCCGCAAACGGTCACCGTATCACTAGACTTTGAAGCGCGGAAAGACCCGAAAGACGCGCGGCGCAGCCAGATGCTGACGCCTGCCGTCCTGGAGACGTGTCTCGCCGTCCTGCGCCATATTCCCGACGAGAAGCGAGGTCGGTCCCTGTTCAGAGCCCATTACAACCTCTGCGATGGCTGGACCCAACCTGTCGCGCTCAAGAGCCTGGAAGCGCTGTACAAGGTGTATGGGGATTACTTTGACGAGAGCCGCGACGATGTCAAGCTCACCAAGCTCGCCCACATTATTTGCGAGAACACGAGGAGACCCTTCTCCGAGAACGAACGCGATCCCGTCGAGTGGGCCGCCCAGTTCTCCGGTCACAACAATCGGTGGGAGACGCTCGGCGTCTTGTTCACGTACTGGAGAATGGGCGCCATCGTCCACGACTACACCCAGCAGCCATTCGGCCCGGTCGGCTCAATGAGCTGTGGGTTTACGAGGAAGCACGAGATGCACCAGCAGTGCCTGAAGAATTGCGCCGAGCTGGCACGCGCGCATTCCGAGTCGGGCAACACGATGCTTCTGTATGTCTTCTTCAAGAGGATGATTCTCGAATCTGTCTCTGCAGGTGATGCGAGTGAGTTTCGGTTCTTTCACCCTGGGTTTCCGTTTCGGGAGAGTACTGACGTGACTCTCCAGGCTTGTCCTGCTGGCAATACCACGCCGAGAGCGTCTCGCTCATGACGTTCCTGGGCTTGCATGCCGAGACAAACACGGAGCCATACATCCCATCGCTCGCGTCTGAAACCCGCAGGAGGTTGTTCTATTGCGTTTACAACATTGACAAGGTTGTGTCGTCCTTCGTCGGCCGGCCGCCCATGATCAGTCGGAGGTACTTCAGCACACCGCCACCTCTCGACCTGCGAGACGAGTACCTGCTGGCGGATGAGGCGACCATGATGCAGGGAGTGGCGGCATTGGACGCAAATGGATGGAACACCGAGGGCGCGTTGTATCCGACGACCATTATCAGAGCACGCGTGAAGATGGCGAGCATCCGCGATGAGATTATGGAGATTGCCATGGGAAATGGCACAACGTCGATCGAGGCGTTGCTGTAAGTCAGAATCCTGCGCGCCGTGAAGGAGGCAAACTAACCGGCCGCCACAGAAATATCAAGGCCCAGCATCTGGCGATTTGGGCCAGCTTCCCTGATGTACTGATCCTCAAACCTGACGACATCAAGGATGCATCCCTCGAGATGGCTACCCTGTATAGCCGCATTATTATTCGCCTCGAGTACCTACAGAACCTGTTCTTTTTGGAGAGACTGCTCGTTCGTCGTGGCCATAACAGCAGCGGCGAGCTCCTTTCGGTCAGCTTCGACATGGTCACCACGACGCTCATGACATGGACGAACATGGATCGGCTGGGTATCGTACAGTCAGATCTGAAGTGGCTAGTAAGTATTTCAAGACCATGGCGCTCCTCACAAACACCTTGGAGACTCCAATCTCAGGCGATTATGTATTGACGCTGTCAGGTCATGGCTTTCGCCGCGCCAGGAGGTGGCATCCTCTGCCTCGAGCTCCTCGAGCCCACTCTCCGCGGCACCCACCCCAGCAACCCGTCCATAGATCGCTCACGGATCGTCCAGAAACTGAGCCTCCTCGTCGGCTTTCTCGAATGGGTTGGCGACGAGGCCCCCAATGGCAACCTCTGCGCGCACTGCAGGGCGCTCGTGCAGCACGTGCTCGACCAGACGCTGAATCCCCCGCCCGAGGGCGCGCCGGGTCTGGAGATGGCTGATTTCGACTTTTCGACGCAGGCGGACTTTAACTTTGAGCTTTTGGACACTTTTGACTGGCTGAGGCCGGAGAACATGCCCGCTGCGTAGGTTTCAGGCGATGCGGCCACTTGCGAGTCTCTTTTGCATTGGCACCGTCGAGAGAAGCCTGAGGCTGTCTACCGTGATGAATTCTAATGATTGGAGTCGCTACCTGGGCAGCTCACTTCTTAGCCCTTTGAACACCTGCCCGAGTTGTCTCCTGCAGCTAAGGTCCCGTCGCGACTCTCGTCATACCCCTCTGGCACGAACCTGCGAAATGCAACCCGTCGAACACATAAATCCCACCTCCAGAGTATGCGCATTAGTTACACAGCGAATCCCAGTCATTATAGAAAGTGCAGGTGCTTCCAGCCTGACAACACGTCGGTCCAACATACCCAATACCGCCACACTGTCCCCACTTTGGCACACAAGTTGCAGTCGGCGTCGGCGTCGGGACGTACGTCGTCGTCCTCGTCGTCGAGATGGGAGGAACTGGCTCAGCAACTGGGCGGATGAACTGCTCGGCAGATAGCTGGGCGGTGTTGAATGTGGCATCCGTCCCCTCGAAGATCTCTGTACCGGCGGAAAAGGAGAGGACACAAGTGCTGTTTGTGTAGCCCTCGTTGGCGACGAGCCACCGGACAAAGTCGACGGCATCGCCCCTGTAATCGGTCACTGTCGTGTTGGCTACAAAGGTGTACGCTGTGAGGCTGGACTTGGTCCCCTTGTAGACGTCGAATGCGTGGCTGCCAATGTTGGCGATATTGGTCGGTGAGCTGGTGGTGCTGGTAGGGGCAATGTCGCCGTACTTGCCGAGCCATACCTGGAGACTCCAGTCTGGAGTCGCGGTTCGACAGGATGAGCCTGACAGCGGCGCACCGTTACCGCCCCCAGTGATATCGAAGAGGACTGCGGCTTTGACATCGGAGCCAGTGTAACTGCGAAAAGCCTGTGAGTAGGGGACCAGGATGTACGTTTCTCATCTCAATACTTACCTCCACTTCCAGTTGGTCGTGAGGGAATGGAATTCGGACAAAGAGGCCACTTGGAACCTCCAGCGATCGGCGCGCGAGTAGGACCTGGGCGTCGACGAGGCGCCATTCCACGTGAAGGACGTGGACCACCTTAGCAGTGAGTCGAACTGACCCACGACAGTAACGCACTGGGAGCCGTCGTCAGGGGCTGCTTCCGAGATCCCATTTTGGACCAGGAACCAGAATGTTTCGAGGTACTCTTGTGGTCCGCAGAAAGTGGCCCGCTTGCTGAGGACGTTGCCAGTTGGTACGCCAGAGCTGTGTTGGACGGGCTGTGGCACAGCCAACGCGAGCGTAGCAAGAGCAGCGATCAATCCGAGGAGCTTCATGGTTCTGAACAGTATTTGCCTTTGGTGCTAAATGTTATGGGTGCACTCGTCAGTCGCAAAGATTGGCAGTCGTGCCTATTTATGACCATGGCAAGCACTCCAGGACTCTCTGTGGCAAAAAGCATTAAAGAAAGTCGCGTGATCTGGAAGCAAGCACATTGAACCCATCATCCTCCATCGTGACGGATTCGAACCTCCGCAAATGCCATCTTGAGGGCACTTAATGTACATAAATACGATATTGCAACCTCGGGGAAACGGTCCAGGCGAGGAGGGATCGCGTGCATGGAGATGGCCTCGAAAATTGGGATGTCATGTGAAAGAGAAAAGACAAAGCAAAGGAATCAGACAATCTGCAGCTTACTCGCATATTCCGGCTAAACCTGGAGGATCTGACGAGTGGCTTCCGTAGGCGTGATGAATGCGAACGATCAAATCATAGGCACGCCTGTGATTGTGGCGCGTTTGGTCGTCTGATACCTGAGCGGGAAGCTGACACGGCTTGGCAGGATGCTACCTTTCTGGTAGATGACCTTCAATTACGCAGCCTTCGATTAGTTGAGCTTTGGGTATGAAGTGTGGCATTTTTCGGCAAGAGTAAGTAAGAGAGTACACCTTGAACAAAGCGAGTCGTCGTGGCTTCATCAGGCAGATGCTCAATAGCCAACTACCTTACCTGTCAAAGAAAGCTACCGATGATGATGCACTTTTCATTTAATGTTAGGCGATGCACAATCATATCCTAGAGCTTGAGAACGTCAGGAGAGGTGATGATGAATGCATTGCCTTCACACTACAATGAAGAGCCCAACTTGGTCGAAATTTCGAGCCCAAAGGTGTAATGAAGAAACCCATGCAACACCAGGGCGATCTATTCAGGGACTTGCTTGCCTCTGCCCATTTCTAGAAGTACGCTTCAATCTGGAAAAGCATTTGAGTGGCGTCCTTTTCAGATCTTGAACTCTACAAAGGTCGTCAAAGCCGTTGCGCTAAATGACACTGAAACTAGGGCATCTGCTCATTGCGGGCATCACATTGGGGGCATCACATTGGGGGCATCATTGGGGGCATCATTGCGGGCATCATTGTGGCCGTGGGCATCACCGACTTCATGGCCTCATCCAGGAAAAGGATCCGAGACCTGAAAAGGCAAGTCATTCCACATTGCAGCCGCACGCATGACGAATCAAAGGACTCCCACGTCCTTTGACGCCGACACATCTGATGCGACTCAGAGATAAGAGACAGCGTGCAGCAAGCGCCCGACCTGGTGCACATGTCGCGATGCAACCGCCAGAGGCCGAGGGACGCCCCCTCATGATGCCATGCAATCGAAGAAGACCAGAACATTTGTAGCGCCTTCCCCCACAGGATGGAGCAATAGGCGCTGGGTGCTCCGGGTGCTCCAGGCGCTCGACAATCAGGGGATCGACCGGCAGCGAACTGCCGGCGATTAAGCTCGTGAGCTGCCTCTTCGGGCAAGACGCGATGGTGTGACTAGGGAGCTTCCGCCCTTGGCAAGATCACCTGCGAGTCGCTGCGACCACTGTCGCACCGCACAGGTTAGCTCCCGGCCTGGCTTTAAACACCTGCCGCATTGCGATGTGATGCCCGCGGCACCTGGATGCTGAACCCAAATATCCCGCTAGACGATTAGGTTGTGGGCGGAGGCACGACATCTGAGCTGAACGCCATTGACCGTCATTCTCAACGTTATAAAGCAGCTGACTTCGGCATCTTCACAGCAAGAGCAGATCCAGTTGTCGCCACCAAGAAACCAACCATCTTGTCCCGTCTCGTCTCATCTTGTCGCCATCATGAAGGCCTCTGTCCTGTCAGCCCTCGCGCTCCTGCCTCTGGCTTTCGGCGCAGCCCTTCCCAAGCCGAAGAAGGTCGACTACACCGGCTTCAAGGGCATTCGCGTGAATGTGCCTGAAGATGATCAGGAGGCGAGGCACCAGATCAGCAAGCTCGCCGCCAGCGTCCTGAACCCTGGCTCTCACGAGGCCCTCGACATTGTCGTGTCGCCCGAAAATGTAGACGCCGTCTTGCGTCTCGCCGCCAACACCACCATCCTCGTCGAAGATATTGGCGCTGCTTTCGCCGAGGAGGACACGGCTTCCCTCTATGCCGGTAGGACTCGGTCGCGAAATTCACTCGATGGTTCTGGTTGCTGATGCTTGGTGCAGTTCCCAGCGAGACGTGGTTCACGACCTACCACAGCTACGCCGACCATCTGACCTTCCTCAATGACCTCCAGTCTAGCTTTCCCACGCAGTCTGAGATCTTCACCACCGGCTCCTCGTTCCAGGGCCGCGCTCTCACGGGCATCCACATCTGGGGCAGTGGCGGCAAGGGCTCCAAGCCGGCCGTCATCTTCCACGGCACCGTTCACGCTCGCGAGTGGATCAGCACGATGGTAGGTTCTGCTAGGCCAAGGCTTCTCTTGCACGATATTGACTGCTTTCATTAGACCACCCAGTACATGGCCTACCAGCTGCTGACCAAGTACGCCACCGACACCGGCATCAAGGCCGCCGTCGACAAGTTCGACTACTACATCATCCCCGTCCTGAACCCCGACGGTGAGTCAGCTGCAACAAGAAGCGATCACCAGAGAACCAGTCTAATGCGAAGCAGGTTTCGTCTACACCCAGACCACCAACCGCCTGTGGCGCAAGAACCGCCAGACCCTGAGCGGAAGCTCCTGCGTCGGCCGCGACCCCAACCGCAACTGGCCCTACAAGTGGGAGGTCACCGGTGGTGCCTCGACCGACCCCTGCTCCGAGACGTTCAAGGGTCGCGCTGCCGCTGATGCCCCCGAGATTCGCGGTGCCAAGGCTCAGGTCGACACGCTCGCCGCCGGCCGCGGCATCAGGTTCTACATTGACTTCCACTCGTACGGACAGTACATCCTCTGGCGTAAGTGAAGTGCACGAGTTGCGCTGGAGCCTCACACCTGATGTTCGAGACCTCCTGCTGACATTGGCTACAGCCTTCGGCTACAGCTGCTCCGTCGTCGCTCCCGACGACTCGGCCCTCTCCGCCATGGCCTCCCGCGGCGCCAGCGCCATCCGCGCCGTCTCTGGAACTGCCTACACCATCGGAAACGCCTGCCGCGCTCTGTATGCCACCACCGGCGACAGCACCGACTACCTCCACGGCGTCGCCAAGTCTACCTACACGTACACGCTTGAGCTCCGCGACAAGGGCACCAACGGCTTCTCTCTGCCTGCGAGCCAGATCCAGCCCACCGTTCGGGAGACCTGGGCGGGTGTCCTTGCGATGCTGCGCGCTGCTTAATGGGTGGTATGGGGCGATTCGAGCTATGCTAAAGTGTTGGACTTGGGGCATCGGGTTGTTTAGCATCTAAAATAAGAGCATGAATGCGAAAGGTGATGATCTGCTTTACTGTTTGATGCTGCAGCAGAGTGTCAAGTACGTTAAGGTTAGCACAAAGGTTTGCACGATTAAATCTGTGTGTACACGAGGTGTGGAATGCAGGTAACATAGAATCATGGCGATGAAGAGCAAGTCATCTCCCCATGTGTTTATTCTCCCTAGTACGCGCAGTGACGGGCTCAGCCTAAGCAAGCCTACTCCCTGTGCTTCTTCAATAATGGGAAAGCAGCGCAACTACTAGCGACTCGACTTCCCCCAAGCATAGACAAACGCCGCTGCCTAAAGACAAAGAAGAGTGAGAGCGAACTCGTTATTTCTAGCCTCTTCCTCGGCGGCCTGCAGCTGCTTTTCGGCCTCTTCTTCGGCCTCCTTCTCTTTTACACGGTTAGATAATCTCAACTTGGATCCAGGAGGCAGGCTGGAAAGTGCAAACGTACCCTTGCGGAGCTTGATGATGGGCATAGTGGCCAGATAAACGCGCCAGTTCTTGTTGCTGAAGCCCAGCTTGCGGGGGTTGCGGTCAAAGTCCCAGAGACCGACGGCGTAGTCCTCGTTGAAGGTGGGCGGGAACTTCTGCTTCAGGCCTGGTGGAGATGTCGCTGTGAGCAGGAGGCCAGCTTGGGGGATTCCCTGAGGGGTGGGTGGGATACTCACTGAGGGGCGTGACGTGGAAGCGAGTGCCGTTCTTGCGCTCGCGGGCGGCCTTGTAGTGGCGCTTGTTGGCGGCGACGAACTTCTGCTTGCGGGTCTGGCGAGCGGGTTTCTGGCGCTTGTGGTATGTCTTGGTGGCGGCTTTGGTGATGATGCAGATAGGCTCGGCGACCTCGAAAGGTTCCTTGGGGGGCGTGAGGCACTGGGTGGCTTCAGGAAGCTGGGGAGCATCAAGGAGCTGCTGGGTAGACTCGGGGCACTGCTGAGGGGACTCAAAGAACTGCTCTGGAGACTTGGGAAGTTGTCCAGGAGAATCAGCAAGACAGAAACAGTTCTCCAGCTCGTCGCTGACGGTGGCCTGGTTGGAAGCCATTGCTTCTGGGTGCTTTGGTGAGGAGGGTTGTGTTGGCTTTTAGTGAGGGGAGAAAGAGCTTAAGAGAGGAAATAAAGGTCGTGGGAATGAAATATCTGCAGAAGGGCAATAAATAAATACCAGACCCGCGGGGGTTTGGCTGAGTCGTCGCTTAGTCGTCGTGAGAGATCGGTGCCTTGCTCAAAGAAGATGTGAGAAAGGGCTGCCCTACCATGGATGTGGGTGCTGCTCTAGGATGAGTTGCAAGGTCTACATTTGCTGCCTGAGAATCGTGAAGAAAGCCTTCAGCTTCTTTATCCACTGCGTTCAGAAAGCCAAGTTCACGGGACAAGATTGCCTATGCAGCTTTGGATTGCACGCAGGCCGGACGTGAAATACTGGGTATGGATTCCAAAGCCATTTCTTTTCTCCCATGTCAAGGAGCACTCAATCGTGTGGTTAGGTATGCTTGGACATTTGGGGGTTAAGTTACCACATGGGTGAACTTCATATGCACCGCAACTCTAGAGATGCTGGCGTCTCTTGTCGATCGGCCCCGCATGTCCGATTTGGTCCAGGTGCCATCATGTTACTGGCCATGAATTGGTCATGGCAATGCACCAAGCCTGACTCAGCGCCTTGGTTCTTCACCCTATATCCGAGGTTCTGTTTCCCCGCTTCCATCAGCTTACTGAAGTTCGACATCGACCTTTTTAGGCCAGAGACAACTTCCCGAGTCATCATATTCAGACCAGAATCATCCATCCCATTCCTCTCCGACATGAGCGCATAGAGACCTGCAATCACATCCAAGTACCATCACACCCACCTGCCATGGCGCCCTCGAAGCTCTTCCCCTGGTTCCCCCACGCCAGGTCTCCCATCATCATCAACGCGCCCATGATGATCACCGCCAACGCCGCGCTCGCCACCGAGGTCACAAAAGCCGGCGGCATAGGCTTCATCGGCGCAGGCTTCGACCTGTCCGCCGCCTCGGCCGAAACGGGCCAGCTCAAAGACCTCGCCAACGGCCTCACCGAAGCCCGCGTCCGCCTGAACCTGCCGCCGACCGCGCCCCTGCCGCTGGGCGTCGGCTTCATCACGGCCCACGAGACGGCGCCGCAGTTTGCCGCCCACGCGCTGCCCATTCTGACGCGTCACCGCGTCGCCGCCGCCTGGCTGTTCGCGCCCCACCCCGAGACGAAGCCGCACGCGGCCATCATCGCCGCGCTGCACGGGGCCGACATTCGCGTCTTTGTCCAGGTCGGCAACGTGGCTGCCGCGCGGGAGGCCGTGCAGGATGGCGCCGACGTGCTGGTCGCCCAGGGCGTGGATGCCGGCGGCCACCAGTTTGAGCGCGGCTGCGGTGTCGTGGCGCTGCTGCCCGAGGTGCGCGCCCTGCTGGCGAATGAGTTCCCTGACCGGCACGTCGCCGTCGTGGCGGCGGGCGGTATCGTCGAGGCGAGCGGTGTTGCGGCTGCCGTGGCACTGGGGGCCGAGGGCGTCGTCATGGGGACGCGGTTCATCGCGACGCCCGAGGCTGGATTTGCTGAAGAGTACAAGGCGCTCGTCGTCAAGACGACGGACGGGGGCGTCAGTACCTGGAAGACCCCCTTCCACGACCGGCTGGCGGCAAATGGCCTGTGGAAGCCAGGCTTTGATGGGCGTGCCATCGTTGGTGACATCCATCTGGAGCACATGAAAGGTGGCGTGACGGTGGAAGAGAGCCGTGAGAGACTCAAGACTGGGTGGAGTGTGGAGGAGGCGAAATTCATGGTGGGCAAATGGGCGGGCGCTGGCGTTGGACTGGTCAAGGAGATAAAGCCTGCGAGTGAGGTTGTCACCGAAGCAAGGGAAGAAGCGAGAAGGATTATTCGTGAACTGGCCGAGGGGCTGTGAGCTCATGAGGTTTGGGTGTTTGTGCCCTGCCTTCAAATACAGAGCACAGGATTCAGTCAACAGCATCATCAGAAGCGAGGGGCAATTGAATGAAAATACTAGGAAGGACATTTCGAATGATCGAATCATGATAAACTCATTCGACGAGAGTTCGACGTTCCCTTAAGACGAAGAGTCGTGAGGCAATGAATTCACCCCAACTTCTTACCACGGTGTTCCATTCGTCACACCGCGATCAGCCATACAGGGCTTGGCGAGCAGTCAATGTCTATTAAGATCCTTTTATATATCTAAAATGATTCATGGTCTTTTCCAACACCTTTAGCGAGGGAAGCCCCGAGGAAGAGAAACACCCGATGATAGAATTTGTGCCATGTTCATACAGCCACCGCCATTTTGCTTGGAGACAGCCTCAGCCGAGGTAACCCGGGTCGCAAGGACCCTGGACGCCCACCGTGTATTCGATACTTCCTCGCTCCACATGGTCATTTTGTTTTACCTTTCCATTGGTCATGACGAATGTGCCCGTCCCAAATCGGTTCAGAGTAGCCTTGCCAACGATGAGTGAGCCAGCGGTCACCTTGCACTCATTGTTTGCACAATAGCACACTGCCGAGCCCGCCCATCGGGGTGAAAAACCGGGAAACTGGGGCGAAGCCCATATTTGAAATTTCCTGCAGATATCTCCTCGCGGATCTTTTTCTGGTCAGCATAGCTAAATATGATGTGCTGGAGGATAACCATACCTTTCACCGGGGCTGGGCTGGCCATTGTGGCGGCAGCCAGAGCGAGCAGTATCCAGGGTCCTTGCATGACGTTCAAGTATTTCGGGTGGGGAGGCTCAGTGTCTGGTTCTACTATATCCGACTTTCTTGATGATGGAAGGAAAAGAATAATCTATACGCTATCGGAGCGATATATATACTGTTGAGAGGGCTTCACTACTTATGTGAACCCTAATCCAGTACTTCCGCTATGCTTACGAGCTCTAAATAGGTAGGGTATCTAATAAGTCTTATAATAGTTAATTCTTATATATTTCTTCTCTCCTTCTCTGAGTTACTACTACCTACGTAAGTTAGATATACCTATCTACTCTTAGCGATTATATAAGCTATAGTTTACGTATTCCTAAGAATAGTAGATCCTAGATATCCTAGATATTATTATCCTAATTATAGAGTTCCCTAATATTAGTTTAATACTAGCTCTTCTTTTCTTTATAGGTAGAATAGCTATAAGAACTAATATTAAGAGCTATCGCTAAGGTTAATAGCTACTCTAATACGCCTATAATTCTCTAATCTCTAGCGTATTAGATCTATTCTTTTAATCTTAAAGTAAATAACCTAATAATAGGAAATAATAAGAAATAATAATTAGAAATAAGGAAAATATAGCTTAAGCTTACTATTCCTATAAATATTAAATCTCTAATTCTTAATACTTTAGAGTAATAATATTATCTATAAATAGCTTTTTAAGGAAATTAACTAAATTATAATTTAAATAATAAGAAGAGGCCTCTAAATCCTAGAAATAAAGGGAATAAATTAGAATCTAATAATAAATAGTATTCTTATAATTATTAAATATATACTCCTAAGGCCTCTAAATCCTTAATATATTAATAGAATATAATAGAATAATTATTAGCTTTTTATAGAATCCGCTAGAATAATTCCTAATAAATTAAACTATTATTTAATAAGAATAATAGGATTAAACCGCTTTAATTAAATAAGTTCTATAAAAGATCTATATATCTTATTAATAAGTTTTAATAATTCTATTCTATTAACCTTTCTCTCTCTTTATATCGATTTCTTTAATTTTTATAGGCTAGCTTAATATATATAAATAACGTTTATATAATTAATAAATATTTATTTTTACTACTCCTACTTATTTATTTTCCTTTTCTTTTTAGCCTCGATAATACCTCTTAAGCATAAGACCCCTATACCTAAGCCCCTTAAGGCTAAGAGAGTAGCTAAGTATAAGAATATTATTAATATTAATTATAAAAGCTATTAATCTAGTAAATAGCGTATATACGTAGTAATATTTATAAGGTTCCTTATCTAGGTTACTTTAAGTCTTATCTTATAAATAAGTAAACTAAAATTAGCGCCTTAAGTATATATTATAACCTCGATCTTAAAGGATCTTATTATTATAAATATATTTCTAAGTATTCCTATAAGCTAATATAAGCTCTTATAATCTATATTTCTTATATCTATAGCTCTAATAAATATTATCTTTAATCCTATTAATATATTTAAGCTTATTATAAAGTTTTTAGCTATTTATAATAAAAAGAATTAAATTATAAATTCCTATTCCTTTTTATTCCTTTAATTATCTAATTATATAATTAGCTAATAATATAATTATAGGATCTAGAGAAATAGTATATTATTATTAAAAATATATTATAGATTATTAATAAAGAGGATATTAAAAAGGGTAACGATTTTAATAAAGACCTTAATAATCTTAATAATACCGACTATAAAGTAGCTAAGCGGGCTATAGCTCTATAG